GCAATAAGAACGATTCAAGGGTAATGATTCTTGAGGTGACTGGTAACTGGTGACTGATAACTGGTGACTGGTAACTGGTATGCATTCAATAGATACCTGTATGCTACAGATATCTTACCTGTGACTACTTATCTACCGACATACCTACCTACACACTACCTACCTATTAGATAATTAGATTTATCCTCAACACCAATAAGAGCCTCAATATCAATCCGATTTATCCGTTTTCAAACATCAATTCAATCTATCCAAGTCCAGGTGTTCATTGTTGTTGTCGTGTCTGATACTACATTCTTTGACTTCTCTGCCACAATCACACAAAAAAATACTTGATACAAAGTGGAGAACCGCACACTCACTCCAGGATTACCTATTGACCCATATCAAGATTATAACTCTACTGCCTAACGTGGTTTATCATCGAGTGGCCTACTTTCACCTCAATTTATACTTTCAAATCTATATTATTCAACAATAATTGAATCAATTGATTGAAACTATTAAGAATCTAATAATCTAGGATCTATTATATTATTTTGACAGATTCTTGTATTATATCCTGTCTTTCCATATTTACTATAATATTAATTAAAAGATACTTCCCTATTAGAATTCCCTTCTTTTTGATGCTTATTGTATTGAATCTGAATATCAACCTTTTATTAAGATAATATATTAAAAACCTTTTATTTAGTAAATTTTTTTTTTAATATAATTAAGTTTTTTATATATATTAATGTTTACTTAATATTTTATTTGTTATTTGAAGTATATAATTCTTTGTACTTAAAAGTATATTTTTATAAGCTAATCTTTTTATACCTTTAGTTAGAACTAGTATAATTTCGAATATAAATATAGGAGAGCTTAATTGATAATAAGTTATTCGAGATTTAATTAATATTGATTGAGAAAAAGCTTCTATTAGGTTGTAAGGAGTTTAAAAGATTTATTGATTTAAATTGAAAAAGGGGGGGGATAGATATGCGAATTTGAATATCTAATTTCGAGAGTATAGCTTTAGGATTAAATAGAATTAAACCTATTCTTTAGAATTCTGATTTTATATTTTAAGAAATGATTGATTCCTTGTATATAACTTTAAAAGCTATAAAGAATTCAATCTTCAAAATATAATTGATATATGCCTTAATAAATCCATCAATTTAATTATTATATGAACATTTTAGATTGCTAAAACAGTTAATATCAAGTGGTTGAGTTAAATGATTTAAATATAATAATAAACATAAATATATAATATTGTTCTCTTTATAATATATTTGAAAAGCTATTAATTCATAGTTTTTATGTCCATCTAGTACTAATATTCGATATTTGCTCTTTCTTCGATTCTTAATATATTTATTGAAATATTTCAATCATTCTAAATTCGTTTTATTATTCATTCATTTATTAGATATAGATTTAATAGCTTATTTTATAGAAAGATTTGTTTAAATGTATTAATTAAAAAGATAAACTTGTCCTTAAATTACTAGAAATAAGAGAATAATTTCACCCTTTTTATTTCTATATATTATTGCTATAGCCCATTTTTGATTACCTAACTGTACTATTTTATTTCTACTATTTTGTTCAGCATTAGTTACTATCATTATTATATATATAATCCTTATTATAAAGTTTGTTTCATCGAAATTATAGAAATCTCCGTCCAAAATACTGTATTTCGCTTACATATTCATAACTAGTCAAAACCACTCTTCAAAAAGCTTAGAATTCTTATAAAAGGCTTTTTGAAAATCATAAATATAACTAAAACATATCTTTAATTTAATTCAATACTTTACAAATCAATACATCTAAAGCTTTCCAACACATTTCACACCCCTTGATTCGAGAATATTATTCACTATATCTTCTATATTCTTTAATTTAAATGGAAATCCTCTTAAATTTATATCAAGTATATATTAAACAATCACCTTTTCTTCTAATTCTATAATTTTATAACAATTCGCTCGAGTTTTTATACAAAGAGGTAAACCTTCCATTCTATATCGAAAAGTTGTACAAGGAATATTATAAAATATAACAGTCTTTCAAATACTTAATTTTTTATCTTTATAAATAATTTTGATAATAAAGAATATATAAGCTTTTTGATTATTCGAATTCATTATAAATTGTTAATAAAATATATATTGAAAGAGACAGATATAAATTGAGATAAAAATGAGCCACTCAATGATATAGGCTACTCGATGATAAACCACGTTATATGTACAAAGTACTGAGTATAATCAACATTCCACTTAACTATATGGAGCAGATCTTACCGTCCCTTCACCGTCCCTTCACCGTCCCTTCCGACTCTATCACAATCGATAAGCGCTTTACCTTATCTTCCTGGCCGTGCCTTAAACGTCAATCCCCTCCTTTCATTCTCCATCCTTTGAAACTTAGCTCGGCTTCTTCGGAGAGTCATTGATGAATTAGGTGATTGAGAATAATTCCATGACAAAGGTATTGTTCATTTTTACATTCCTACATTCCTACTTTTCAATCATCCCAATCATCCCAATCATTCTATTCACCATCCATTGATTTCCTAATCCATCAACAAAGAAACTCACCCAACACCAACACCAAAACCAACACCCACCTCTACTTTAAGTCCGATCGCAAAACATCTCTAATCGCGAATAGATCCGCTGGTCGTCTTCTTTTGAAACCCTCAATGATTTAGTCCATCCATTTCAATTCTTCATTTCCTTGAGTTCAAGATACCCTTTTTCTGTCAAAGCGCCATATCCGAAGCGTTACAATATGATTTCCATACGACGACTCCTCCTAGGAATCGTCCTGGTCTGCTTGACTTGGTTCGGAGCCACCTCATTACATCGATACCTCGATCCGAATACACATATATCAGAGGAAATGAGAGAAGATGCGCGCTGGATCGCTACATCAAAACACTTCATGGATAGACAATCATGTAAATGGCTTGGCCTGTGTGGACTTGCTCACTATCATTCCGATCCGGCTTGGAAACGTCGATTAAATAAAGTTACAAGAGATCAGAAAGTCATGGGAGACGATGACTTGGATGCAAGTTGGGTAGAATGGGATGATGCCTATAAGAATGCCCCCAAGATGCGCCCCGACGATTGGTTTGGCGACGATCGAGTATTGAAAGAAGTTCCACAATACGTTCTTGACCACGCACCTCTCGTACATCTTTACTCGGGGGAGAAGTTCTGGCCTGCGGACATTGAGGAACACTTAAATCATGTTACTCCTTACGAAAATCATACTTCATTGCATATGAATACGTCCGAACACACATTACACAATTTACATCTCCTGAACGAAGGACGCAGCGGTCGACTTTTATTTATGCAGAGTAAAGACGACGTGGAAGATAGACCCAGGTGGTTAGGGAGCGCTTACAATAAACCCATACCTTATGAAGATGAACCCAAGCATGAAGAGGATTGGGAAACAGTAGAAGAGGAAGAAGAAAAGGAGTTTATTGAGAGTAAAGAAGATGGTCAGGAAGCCTGGGACGATGCGAGTGATGAAGAAAGAATGATGATTGTCGCACCATTTGAGCCAACCTTTCGCGCACAGCCTCAAATTACAAGACAGCGCAAACGCAATTTGAAGAAACGTGGAGATTCTTCCGGTAAACCAGATCAATCAGGATATTCCCCAGCTCCTGCGACATTGATTATCGTGGACAAAGGACATGGGATTGTTGATGCGTTTTGGTTTTACTTTTATTCCTACAATCTTGGTACAACAGTTTTGAAGATGCGATTTGGAAATCACGTTGGTGATTGGGAACATTCTCTCATTCGATTTTATAACGGTGTACCCAAAGCCGTTTTCTTCTCTGCCCATTTTGGTGGGTTAGGATATCATTATAAAGCAGTTGAGAAAGGTCAAGGTCCAGGAAGAGAAGGAAGACCAGTCATTTATAGTGCCGTGGGATCTCATGCAATGTATGCGACTCCCGGTACACATCCATACGTTTTACCATTCAAACTTCTCGCAGACGTCACAGACAAAGGACCAATTTGGGATCCCGCCCTTAATTACCGAGCATATTTCTTCAATACATCCCTCACCCATAATGTCGATGCACGATTCGCAACCTCTAATTTTCTAGCTCAAACAATGGCTGATTCTTTTCAACCCGCGGCACAAAATCCAGATGCACCCACGGGTTGGTTTTGGTTCAATGGTCATTGGGGAGACAAATTTTATGAATTGTCTGATTGGAGGCAGTGGAGATTTGTGGGTCAATACCATTATGTGAATGGACCACTTGGACCGAAATTCAAAAATTTGGGGAGAAGTAGAGTTTGTCAATCGGGGTTGAAATGTATTTTGGTGGATAGTTTGGAAAAGGGAAAGCATAGGAGTTGGGTTGGGTAGATATGCGTTGAGTTGAGTAGACTTTGGAACGTTGAGATGAAATGAGATTGGATGTGATAGACTTGGATTTTGGTTTCCTTTGTCTTTTTCGTTTGTGAAATTGAGCGAGTTTCGAAGATTTAGACTGGTTGGGTATAGATGGATAAATCGATATTTTTTATTTGGTGTTTATTTGGGAATTGGATGGATGGATGGATGGATGGATGGGGAAAGGAGGTGTTGTTGGAATCTTATTGCATATGGAAATGGAGATGGAGATGGAGGTCATGATGATGACGATGACGATAACGAAGATGACGATAGAAGACGAAGTGGGAAGAATAATGACGAATGAATTGGATGAGAGCCGTCTAGGAGCAAAGCAGTTTGAAGATGGTGAATTCTAAGGAATTCATTACATGGGGAAAGGTTGAACCGAAAATGCATTATGAGTGGCATCCGAGAAGAAAATTTATTATAGTTGAGAGGTGGGAGGAGATGAATGAGTGGTGTGTAGATGGATGTTATCGATGGATGAATATATTTATCTTACATATATATAAATAAAGAGAGTGAGATATGATTATATGAATATATTATTTATAAATTAGATGTTTGTATGGAGTTGAGAGATTAATGGGTAGTGATTGATAAGTAGTGATTTATGATAATTACTTGGACTTGGTGTGCGTCTGTGTATCAGTGTGGGCATGAGTGATTAGCCACGAAGAGCAAGCAAGGTCTTTCTCTTAAATATACGAATTGAAAGAGAATTTTCTACACTTCACATTTGACATCCCTTCATCTATCACTCCCTCCGTGTTGTCCTCATTATCATCGCTCATGTATTTATGCACGTATTCCGGTTTCTAGGTCTCTAGACAGATGGTACAGCAAAATCTGCCCCGCCATCAAGAGAGGCCGAATGAATACTTGAAACTACTAGGTAGGGTGCTGGGATGTGAGTGAGTGAGTGAGCGTCTCGTCTACTCGTAGGTAGGAGGTATACTTACAATACTCCCTCGTTGTTTTCAAACCTGGTAACCTCAAGCTGTTACTTTCCTAGCGCGGAAGAGAAGATCATCTCCCCGTGAAATCCTCGTTGAAGTCGCTAGATGGGAGGATGTTCATGGGGTGGCGTGGTTTCCTTATGTGCAGCGTAGAGGGTTCTGGAGATTCTTGGTGGATGGGTAGAGCGAGGTGATGGGTGGGTGTGTTCTTCATGATGCTTATGTCTTGTGTTGTTTTGATTTGAGATTGAGATGGAGATTGAGATTGCAATAAGATATGAATTTGTGTTCTGGATGAATGGATGGGGATAGCTAATCTTCTTAGCAGGGTTGGTTTCGTTGCGGCTCAGCGGGTTGGGGGCGATTGGGGGGCGATTGGAGTTGTGGGTTGTGTTAGGGGAGGAGAGGCGTGGGTTGATGGTATAGTGTGGTGTGGTGTGGTGTGGTATTGTATTGTTTGTTATTGTTTGTTTGTTTATGAATATATTCATTCTTTTTATTGATTTAATAAATTGTAAGAACAACTGGGTAGAGATTGGAGTTGCGAGTTGTGTTAGGGAAGGAGAGGCGTAAATTGATGGTGTGGTGTGGTACTGAGCGTTTGTTTGTGTATGGTCATGCTTTTTCTTGATTCGACGAGTCGCACGTACATATATCATTTCGCACTCACTTGCTATTCTTCCTGCTTCTTTTTCCCCTTGCCTTTTTCTCCTCCAGCGTTTGCAGCATTTTCACGCTTATAATTTCAATCGAAATTATCGAGATAGATTAGCGCGGAAGCCCGCTTTGCTATTCATAGCTGCATACCCGCGGATATCTGATTGGCTATCTGGAGTTGTAGGCCTCAAAATCATAACAAGTATTGAGGCAGTGGTTAACTTTAGAATCATGTCTGCTTTTTATTGACGGAGGGCTTCGGTAACATGCATTTATTGCATGAATCAGCCTTTCCGCAGCATGCTTGAGGGTGGCCGTTTGGAAGGCCTTGTTGAAGGGAAGGGAGGTAGGTGGATGGATATGTGAGGTGAGTGATTGAGGTATAAATATGATGGGATAAACTCTTGTTATGGTTTTTTTTCACAGCAGGCTTCCTTGTATGGATTTCATTTCTATCATTCTAAATAGTTTGTCTTTTCAACGCAATCAAGCGATACGGCAATCCGTTATTTACTGTCGGGAATTTCTTAGACACGAAAGAACTTCCACACACATGAGCAGTATGCCCTCCTCTCGTGGATCATCCGTCGTTGTGGATGATGAAAGCTTTCACGATAGTCCTATCACTCCTCAGACTCCGATTTCCGAAAATGAGCTCAAGACAACATCTTCTCTCAAAGGTCTACAAACGGAAGAGCAGCAACGTGTTCTGGACACCGTTGCACATTTGAGAAAGTGTGGCCTCGAGAATACTCTGCCCCTTCCACAACTTGTCGTTTGTGGTGACCAATCCGCTGGTAAAAGTGAGTACAGCAATGTTTCTTTTGCTATTTGGTGATGTCAGATCTATTCTGCGTAGAAGTTATGCTGAATTTTACATCCACAGGTTCGGTTCTCGAGGCGTTGACCGAGATCCCTTTTCCAAGAAATGACAATCTGTGCACTCGTTTTGCAACTGAGATTAGTCTCCGTAACGCTGACACGAAAACGCTCACTATCAAAATTATCCCGGATGATGAGCGGCCATCTAAAGAGCAGGCCATGCTTAAAGAGTTTGTGGAGAGCATCACAAACTTTGATGACCTTCCTCGAATTATGGATTTAGCCATGGAAGCAATGGGAATAAGTGCTAATATTGACCCGAATGCGCCACCACGAGCATTCGCTAGAGATGTCCTGAGCATTGAATTTTGTGGCCCAGATTGTCCCCAGTTGACTTTGGTCGATCTTCCGGGTTTGATCGCCTCTGAAACTGTAGAGGCAACAGCTGCCGATGTTGAAACGGTCGCAGCCATAACAGAGCATTACATAAAGCAGCCTCGAACCATTTGCCTTGCTGTTGTCTCTGCAAAAAACGACATCGCCAATCAGCAAATCTTGAAGAGAGTCAGGGCCCATGATCCTCATGGAGATCGCACTCTTGGTATCATCACCAAGCCAGATACTCTTGATAAAGGCTCTGGAAATGAGAAAGCTTTCATTAGCTTGGCGAAGAACGAGAATGTCAGATTTAGATTGGGTTGGCACGTGGTAAAGAACCGAAGATACGAAGAGAGAGATTTTTCTCTAATGGAACGTAACATGGCGGAAGATTCTTGGTTTCGCGCGTCCAACTTCAAGACTTTGTCGAGAAATCACATCGGCATTGAACGATTGCGTGGTCGTTTGGCCGCTCTATTGTTCCAACACATTAAGAAAGAACTTCCTCAGCTCCGCCGCGACCTTGAAACCCAACTTGCCACTGCAAGTGAACAACTCGGGTTGCTCGGTGATGCTAGATCTACACCTTCTGACTGTCGAGCATACCTGGTGCAGCTCAGCACCGACGTCCAGAAAATCTGCGCCGCTGCTGTTGATGGTCATTACGAAGGACGATACTTTCAATGTGAAGTTAACTCCGAGTTCAAACTCGATCAAAAAGCAGGCCTTCGTCGTATGCGAGCCTGTGTTCAAACGATGAACTCTCAATTCACAGAAGTAGTGCGTAGAAAAGGTCACAAATACCAGATCGATCATTCTACAGGCGCAAAATCGACTAGAGGCACGATGGAAGGGGAAGAAGCAGTTAAGAAAGGCAAGCCCGAAAGACTTACGAAGAAGGAGGGTCTGGATTGGGTGAGGCAGGCACTCACTAGAACCCGTGGAAAGGAACTCCCAGGCAATTACAACCCTTCACTAATTTCAGAACTATATTGGGAGCAATCCGCGAAATGGGAAGAGCTCGCCACAGAGCACATTGAGCAAGTGTCCGATGTGTGCACCGAGTTCCTTAAGAACTTACTTTTAGAAATGACCCCAAGAGACGTTGAATCACGCTTGTGGTCATCCCGGATCGAAGACGAGTTAAGAAACCGCAATGCTGCCGCCACTCGAGAGTTGAATAATTTGATTGTGGACAATACAAACCATCCAATTAACTACAATCACTATTATACGGATACTATCAAAAGCCGCCAGCAAGAACGAGCAAATGCAGAGCTCGAAAAATGTTGTCAGGATGCTTCGGCTAGTGTTGAGACAACCGAAGGAGTGCAGCTAGGTCCTGTGATCGAGAAACTAAGGGAAAGCCTTTTCAAAAGTACCGAAAAAGATATGGAAGTTGTTTCATGCGAAGCGGCTTTGGATTGTGTCGTGGCAATCTACAAGGTTCGTTTCCTTTCACTCAACTCCTTTATCAAATATGGACTAATTTGTCCTGTAGGTCCTTCAAAAGGTATTCATCGCAAACGTGACGACCCAAGTAGTCGAGCGACACATTGTTCGCGGCTTAGAACGCATTTTCGACCCTGTTGCCGTAAACAAAATGTCTGACAAAGATGTGGAGGCCATTGCTAGTGAGCCAGGCCAAGCTAGACAAGAGAGGGCATATCTGGAAGACCAGATCACAAAGCTTGGAGAGGGTAAACGAATCTTCCGAACGATCATGAGCGGTGCTACTACGCTCTAGGAGGTCTAGGGTTAGTTGACCACGTGCGAGGGAGAACTGTGGCATGCGGCTCGTGTGAAGTTGTCATTTCTGTTCGGCTGTGGAGTAGGTTTTGATGGATCGTGGTTGTGGATGTGGGTGCTGCGGGTAGAGTGGAAGGAAGAATAGTGCCGGTGAATACCGTACCGCGGGAGTATATTTCTTTTTTGTTTCGACAATAATCGTTGTACTACTACGAAGATACTTTCGTTATTATTATCGTTATTGCAACTTAGCTTTTTAGACCTCATTAGTGTATTGGTGCAACAGCATGGTTTCCATCTTCGTCAAAGTGCTATGAGTGACAAAGAAAGTTATAGGAATGAGCTGATACCCTTCGTATAAACTCACAATTACGGCTAGAGTAGATAGTGCTAACTTTTCTTCACAAAGTATCTACAGTGAGTGGACCAAGTCTAACGGTGAAGACCAATTCCAACGCCTCGAACGCTTGATATTCTGCAAGAAGTCCCCAGCATGCTCGAATGCATCTCTCGTTCCGCACTTCGGTCCCGGGGGGTAAAATTTCCACATCACTGATTGGTCAATACATATCTTAGATCCGCGGTATAAGGCTGATAAGATAAGATTTCTTCGCTAAAACCTTCTAGGCTTATTAATTGATTAGTCAGTCGCAAAGCTTCTTGCCGTGAGAACCATTCTTTTTCCGATTTGGGATGCTTCTTGACCCTGCCTCGCCTGCTTGAGTGTTGGGGTGCGTGCAATTGGTGCAAGCAAGATGTCACTATCTGCTCTGTACGTACGAGCTTACGAGGATTGCAGAATGGATGACATGAGATTGGCAACATGGGATTGGTAACATGGATATACTTCGTATATTCGTCATTGAGAGGATCCCTTGTGTGTATTTTCGTAAGTGGAGTCAGTCTTTTTTTCTTCCTGGACCGTTTGGGTTAAGTGAAGTGGTCGAAGTCTATCTGCGGTGATTGTTCTACGCTTTTTGTTTTGTTTTATTTTATCTGGAAGATGTGATGTGTTTTCCTGGTTCTTGTACGTTTTTCTGGGATTGGTTTCCCGTGGTTGCGATTTTGTGAAGTTTGAATCTTGAAGTTTGAAGTTTGAAGTTTGAATCTGCAGAGAATATTGAGATTGGAGGAAAGTAAGTATAGTAGCGAGGTAAAGAAGGAACAAAAAGAAGCATATGATGCTCAATTCCGAAACGGAAATCGAGGGGGATTTATCGGGAAGGGATATAGAGAAGGAGGAAAGGGCAATGGGAAGTTCAAACGCCACTTCAATGCTGGAGCACGATGGAGAAACTACAGATGTTGAGACGCCACCTCGACGCCTAAGTTCGCAATTGTCGAGATCACAGTCGATTTCGCAGTCTGAGATTCAGAGAAATCCTGTCGTTGATCATGAGAAAAGTTCGGCGCAGGATGAGAGTCCAGATATGAGAATATTGGTGGATTGGGATGGAGATGATGATCAAGAAAATCCGCGGAATTGGTCGACGTTGTACAAGAGTTGGATAACGTTTCAGTTGGGCATGTTGGCTTTGAGTGCCAGTTTGGGGAGTAGTATTATTAGTCCGGCGGGAAAAACGATTGCGGCGTATGTTGGTGTTACTTCAGAAGTCAGTGTGTTGAGTATTAGTCTGTATATGTAAGTTTTGTGTTTTGCTTCTTTCAAATGAAAAGGGTACTGATACATTTTCAAAATAGATTAGGATTCGCATTTGGACCACTTTGCTGGGCACCAATATCTGAGCTTTGGGGAAGAAGATGGAGTATGTTACCCCCGATATTTTGTTTGGGACTGTTTTCCATTGGAACGGCTACAAGTACAAACGCGGCATCAATTTTCATAACGAGATTCTTTGGAGGGTTATTCGGATCGGCACCCGTTTCGAATGTTTCTGCAGCGTTGGGGGATATATGGAGTCCTAAAGCTCGAGGGACGGCAGTTACATTCTATGCAGTGGCAGTTGTAGGTGGACCGACACTAGGACCTTTAATTGGAAGTGCCTTGCTTGTGAATCCACATTTGGGATGGAGATGGACAGAATATCTCGAGGCGATTTGGGTGTTTGCAATGTTCGGAATGTGTTTAATATGTCTCCCCGAAGTCTATACGCCCGTCCTCCTCAAGAAAAAAGCCGCTCGTCTTCGCAAAGAAACAGGAAATAATGCCTATTACCATCCACACGAAGAAATAAAACTCGATGCCAAGACCATTGTCACGAAGCACTTCTCAAGACCCCTCCTCATGCTTACTACAGAGCCCATGGTTACCTGTATAGCTTTCTACGCCTCCTTCGTCTACGCCATCCTCTACCTCACTCTCGAAGTCTTCCCCATCGTCTTCTCCGATAACCGCGGCTGGTCCTCCGTCATCGCTTCCCTCCCTTTCCTCGGCCTCTTCGTCGGAGTCAATCTAGCCGTCGTAGTCAATCTTGGCAATCAACCTCGCTACGCTCGTATCGTCGACGCAGCAGGTGGACGGCCCGTCCCCGAAGCGCGTCTCGCCCCCATGGCACTCGGAGGTATTTTATTCGCAATCGGACTTCTCTGGTTTGGATGGACGGCTGCGCCAAATATCCATTGGATTCTTCCAGTCATTGCTTCGGTATTCATCGGCGCTGGGTTTAATATTATTTTCCAACAGTGTATCAATTTTTTAGTTGATACTTATGCATTGTATGCGGCAAGTGCGGTTAGTGCGAATACTTTCCTGAGAAGTATCCTGGCGACTGGATTTCCGCTGGCCGCGGGCCCGATGTTTAGAGCTATGGGTGTAGGACCAGCAATGAGTGTGTTGGGTGGAGTGGCTACTCTGGCTATACCGGTGCCGTTTTTGTTTATGAAGTATGGGGTTACGTTGAGGAGGAAGAGTAAATTTGCTCCATTTAAGGATTAGATGATTTGGCGATGAAGGGATGAGGTGGTGGTTGTAAATATTCAGATGTTAGCACATAGAACGAAGTACATACATGAATTTGAAGACCATGAATATATAGATGTAACACTTGTTGTTCAGTAACACACGAGCTCGAAAAACGGCTTTCAACATCCTTGCATCTTTTCTTTTTCGGGAGCTATTCATCAATTCTTGAATCAAATCTGTAATGATTGGGGTATCCAACCCAATCGCAATAATCATACTTTTTTCCCATCCCCTCTATCATATAAACTACGTAATTCATCTCACTACCTCTTCATCGCTAAATAAAAATTGAATGAAAGTAACTGCACCCCCGAGACGAAGTCTATACGTATAATCCAACATCTTGTGATTCTCATTCGGGGAAACTCATTTGGAGTTGAATGATGTGCGAATTGGTAGAGAGGTTGAGAATTTGAAGATTCAAAAATTTGAGGGGAATATGGATATGGGGTGGAAACAGAGTGGGGTGTAGATACAGTCAATAGGGGTTCGGATATCGATGGATATCGAGGGTTATTTGATTTTCTTGCTTGTTGGGATGGAAGGTGAAAGGTGAGCAGAGCAGGTATCAGTATTTACCTAGGTAGCATAGCTTTCCTGTGGGTATTATTTATGATGCCATCATCGAAAGATAGCAAATCATCGCATAAGCGACATTGCTTTGAAGGAAATAGTACTGGACACTGGCTTACCTACCTAGTATTCAAGATAGAGTTCTCAATTGGATATGCTTTGGTATCTTTTGTATACCTACTTTGCGTTGAGGTGGTTATGTTGATATTGTTATTCGATTAGATTGGGGACGGTGGGGGAATCTTCTCCTTCCTCATTATCGGAGATCCCCCCACTCCCAGTGCGAAAGTTCCATACGCTCTTTCTGAGGGTTGTGGTGAGGTTTCGTTCTTGTCTTATCCTGCAAACTTGCACAGGTTGGGAGATCTGAAGCTGGAATCGCTTGGTTCGATCAAGCACCAAGTGCAGTGTAAATATTGGGAGTGTTTTTCCGTCTTTGGTTCCCGGACTGGAAGTTTTGGAAGAATGTGGATGTTCTATGATAGGATTGTGGAGATCATGGATGGATGCTACTGGAGGATTCAAGAAGTAAGTTCCATCGAATAGAAGAGGCTGGTTCTGAGATTGAATTCGTGGTATCTATATCTGGTAACTTTCGTGAGTGTCGTTTTAGCCTTGTGATCTTGGAAGGAGAAAAAGGGAGGGTTGGAAGTTGTTCTTCATGCGGGAGGCCTCTAGAGTATCTTGGAAACCAGAAGGACTAGATGGTCTTGGAGTATTGAAGCGCACCAAGACTTGTCATTGCACGCCAAAAAGATGGGATGTGGGTGGCGTGGGAACTAATAGGAGAAACAGACGGCTTCAGGCACGTGTGACATTCCTCGAAGAACACAAACTCGACATGCAAGATTGGCAATGGGCTTTGAAAAGTTTCTTACATTCCGAAAGGATTCTTTTGAATGGCATTGCTGAATTTATTGGATTCATTCACTATAGGAAGGAATGATGCATCCTTGGGGTCTGCGAATCTGGTATGTTGGTTATGGGATTAGAAGTTGTGTGTGCGATGATTCGAAGCCGGAAGATTCATGGACAGGCTTCCCTTGTGCTGCTGAGTATGTTATTATGTTTGTCAATGAGTAAACTGGGAAAACGTATCATATATCAGATGAATCCTCCATTCGTTCGGGAATCATTACAGCGACCTGATACCCATAGGGGGAAAACTTCGATAAAGTCAGTTTCAGGAGTTTCCGGTATCGTTATGGAAAGCCCAGAAACCATGGAGAGTGGAAAGCAATGGAAGTCGATTTAGAGTGGTGGTCAATTTTTATACCCTTGAACATTACTATTTATATAAAGTCTTTGGTAAGCTAGCACACATAGCTCGGAACAACAAGATCAGGGATTTATGTCTCAGTCATTAAAACCGCATAGAAGAGGATAATAACGGATCCAAAGAGGGACTAGAGAAGGAGATGCCGCAAGATGAGGAATATAAAGCCCAAAGAGCGGATTTGAATCAATATTTCATCGATATGACACAGGCAATTATTGATGTGGATGAGAGATTTGTCAAAGCCGTGAGGGCAATATTCTGGGTCAATGTCCGGGAATGGTATAGAGAGGATCATACTGGGGAGTGTTTTCTGTGTTGATCAGGGGAGCTCCCGGCGGAGGACTGGAGTGAAGAATTTGGGAGGGGAATAGGTCACAGAATGGACGATGGGGATTTTTTGGCTTGATATCAAGGATGAACGCTTAACAATGGGTCGGAATTTAATACGTGACTTTTTGGAGCCCGTTCTAAAACTCAAGCCTAGATATTTTAGATCAAACTATTTAATGAGGCCAGAAGTTTGTTTCGCGTTGAATAGTTCTTTGAGAATATGACACCGGTTTTCTTACATCACATCACATCGCTCGCAACTTTGACTTCCCAGGTTTTGTGTAGCACAAATAGTGGGGCACCCCTGAACTCAAAGCAAGTAATCCGACATATCACTCGCTTAACCTTCTTCGAATCTTTCCCCGCATTGTACACTTCACACCGGCATATACCCGAAATGACCCCTTGTTATATACTTAACCATCTTTCGAAACTGCTCGACGTCTACGGAGTATATTGAAATAAAAGCTGTAAAGAAATACAGTCTATTCAAACAACAAAACTATGGCGGCCCAAAATTTGCTGGAACTATTGCGATCGAGGACAGTGGTCGATTGTGATACTATGGAATTTGAGGGTGGGATCGCTTCTGTAAATCGTTACACACAACTTTTTCTAATGATACATCATAGTTGCGAAATCTCTTGGTCCTTTCACGGATTGCACTTCCAACCAAGCAATTGCAGTTTTCGAGCTTCAGAAGCCCGAGAACAAGAAACTGCTCCAAGAGACAGCGGAAACCACGGAACAGCTCTCGAGAACGCGAGAATGCCAAGATGTGAATTTCTCAGAACTGGCGGTCGAAGTTGCGGTATATTAATCCCCCTTGAGATGTAGATGAATGCAAAGAGCTTACTTGGCTATCTAGATGGTCAAATTACAACTTGCAATCGCGAGCGTAGTCACGGGGTTTGTGCATGTTCAGACGAATCCTTATCATTCGTATGGCACCGACGAAATGATTCAAGATTCACGAAGTATTTCTTTACTTTTCCTTGAGATATTGACAGAGACTAAATCATCCAGGGATAATCTCCATTTTTAGACATCTCGATCCAAACTTTGACACTAATCGTATTTGCCTAAAGATACCAAGCACATGGGAAGGACTCCAAGCATGCAAAGTCTTGGAAAGAGAAGGAATAAGAACTTTAGCCACTACACTTTTTAGTATCGAGCAGGCCGCTTTGGCCGGAGAGGTCCAGTGCACTTATGTTGCGCCTTATGTTAATGAATTGAAAGTTCATTTCGATGCGGGGTATATGTCCACCCATTTTTGAAGAAAATTGGATTATCAAGATTGCATTTCCAAAAGCTAACCAAAATCAGATTTACGGATACCAATAAAGCGCATCAGCTCTGCTTTGAAATCCAACAATACTACAGCAAGAATAATCTCCGAACAAAAGTGCTACCAGCTAGTCTGACGAATATCGATGAGATTATGACGTTAGCTGGTGTAGATCATATTACCATTGCGGCGGCGCTACTGAGAGATTTAGCGGCTACAGCTGTGGAGGGCTATGAGGTGAAGTCTCTGTTTGATGGACATGAGCGGGAGGAAGCTCAATCTACCGCCTTGAACTTTGATAATGATGAGAGCTTGTGGAGGATAAGTTTTACGAGGAGTGGAAAAGGAGAGGCGGAAAGAAAATTGAGCCAGGTGAGTTGTTCCTGACAGGGATTCCTCTGAGTGAGCCAAGCTGTAGACTTTACTAATTATTTATATCGTGCATAGGCAATCAATATCTTTTGTGATATGCAGACGCAGTTGGAAGCGATGTTTCAGGGCTAGACAGAAAGTAGATATGGTTTGATATTAGCGTTCTGCGCTTGGCACAAGAATGCCGAATTGAGCCACACTTGCACAGGAGACTTCATTATCTCAACCCATTTGGTTCTATGGACTTAGAAATCCGAACTCTTCGAGATGAATAGTAGCTAAATCGCGTAAGAGATTGGGACCCCGCAAGAACTCGTCTTTATAAGTAGACCCCCAATTCACGTTTCTTACTAGCAGCAACTTGTAACTTTTGCTTATCTTGTGAGAATAGCACGGATGATATGAAGTGAAAATCTGTCAAGCTTTGGAAGAAAACGGGAAAGCCAGAAAAGCTAGATAAAACAAGATCGCAATCATAATAGGTAGCTTGTTTCTCGATCGAGGGATCCTAATAATCCGCAACCGAAAGGAAAAGCGTGTCTATTAGCAAGCTTGTCCTCGATATGTGCCGCAGATTGGATCGTAAATGATGACCGGCTGATATCTTACTTGCAGTAATAGGACACACTTGCGAGAATCCCCATTGCTATAATTCGAGGTTTCAAGGCATTCTTCGAAGGAGAATCTCACCAAAGAATCTTAGACCATTCTAGAGATTGCCAAGGAATACGTTACATATCGGTTTTCAGTATCTAGATCGCTTGTAAGATCGGTCGACTCTACCGAATGATTGAATCAGAACGCTGTGCCACAACTAATACATATTCTAGAACGGAATCTTACGGGGACGATTAGCTGTGCCACGGACGACTCCATGAATACCCGTGGACTAATGTGAACTCACATTATTTTCCTTCCTTGCTACCTGGATACACTACATATCTCTACTTTACGCCCCTTTTGGTCCGCATCTTCTGACTGTGGACAATAGAGTAGGATGATCTGATCGTGGCTTCCATCTGACTTTTCAATTCCTTTCGTTATTGTTGTATCTGACATTTTTCTGCATAATTCAAATTCTGTACGAGTCCCAGGAGTTTGGAGCCGGGCCTGAATCTGCCTATCGTTTCTGCGACAAGAGTCACGCTTTTATCGATAAAGAAACTAATCCCATTCCCACAATCCTTTCATGGCCCTTTATAGAAAGCGAACGCATGAAAAGAACATGGAAGATACAAAGGGCTCATAAGATGTCAAATACCCGGGTGATCCGCCATGTGATACAACACAACAACTTTATCCGTATTACAGTCATGTACATAGTATTGGCTTTCCACGCGGCTCTTTTCTGATCCGCGTTGACTATGATTAGCGATAGAATACATGGTATTTCAAAGCTTATAATATGAAGATGAATTGGATAGAATTGTGCCATAGAATGCTACAGTCTTGTCGAGAAGTGATGAGGTTCGAACCGACCAATCAAAATATTATATTCGTAACTAAGGCTGACCCTATTTCAGCCGATTCCCAGACAGCACTTGTCTTACTGAAAGTGTGGCCTCAGGAAATGATGATACACCAGTGAAGTCTTCTTGAAGGAAATCTCATCAATTCAGCCTTAAAGTCACGCTGTTTCTCTCAAAAGTAGGATACCGGTAGCGAATTATACTAAATCTCATCAGTAGTGTGCAAGGCTGCCATATTTGACATGGGGTATTGGGGTAATTCACAGACCAAAAAGAGTCTTTCAACGAATATCAGAGTTGTAATAGGGTCTCGCTCTACATGGGACGGCAACTAGAAGAGTCTTCCGTCGTATTGAGTGGAAGATAGCCCGGATACTCCATTGCTTTCCATGTAAGTAAGTACGCGCCAATAAACGTCCGTTGTATCTTAAAACTTTTACAATGCTCAGTACAGCTTCAAAGCTTATCCCAATTGCCAATGAGGTTGAAGAGATTGCTTCTTCCCTCTCGTACTCTTCTACACTTCCAACAATCAGACCTCGGATCCTTTAACTTCTTATGGTTTGATTCATCATCCAGAGAGCCTCTCAAATCGTAACAAGCGCTTGGCATTTGTGAATTCAGGAGTGAATAGCAAAGCCGCGACGCATCATGATACATGGGGAGATAGATTGTGCCTCGAGTTACGTGCCGAGGCTATACTTGCGGCGTTGAGATTTATTGTGTGATTCAATGCTATTCAAGTGTTCTTACTATGATGGAACATTCTTGTTTCGTATGCTCCGATCTCGCTTGTCTGTGAAAGCCTGATATGCTGGAACTTGTATTGGGAACGAGGAGAATCCTATGACTCTCCTACTTTATACGGCACAGGACGAACTCCTGGAGTCTTTCTGTCGAATCTAGGGCGTCCTCAGATAAGCCTCCTATATCGAGATGGGTATATTAGGGCCCATATCTCCTGTCAATGCGACGATATCTAAAAACACTTCTCTCGATAACTTCAGCGATTTGAACAGAATCTGATACGACTCCTCATCATCCGCAGACCCAAGACTTTTGAACACCCATTGCAATTATCTCTTCACAATATCAACAGTCCAAGGCCCTTCGAGATCTACCTTACGCTACAAATTCAAATTATATCTTTGCAGTCGTCAAAATTATGTCTTCTCGAAACTCCAGACGCTCTCAACTTGGTCAAAGCTCAAGCTCTAGAAGTTCTAGACCCTCAGTAGCCTAAGTGAGTCAAGGACACGCTTCTATTATTGACCACTTGTGTCCAGATTCCCCTAGACTCTCGATTGCACTATGGTCATGATCCTAGACTATTTCTACAGCTCCTTCATTGTTTTCCAGCGATTATAGGACTAATCTTTGACAGGAGAGCACAGCCCTACTCATCGAATCCCTCAACACGCACCGTGTAAATACGCTCACGGAGCTCTGCAGGATTGAACGAAAAGCTGCCGCTTCTAATGAAGAGGAATTACTTCTCATCCGAGATCCCTTGACCGCAGCTTGGACTTACTACGTCACATCCTACAACCTACTCAATGAACTCCGCAACTTGACGCCAAATTACACTTTCAGCAGTGATTTACTCGATGATGCCAAATGGAGAGTGAGTAGCGACCCAAATAGCGACAGAAGTTGGAATTATGCCTGGTTGGTTTTGATCAAAATATATGATGAGTAAGTCCTAGCCATTCGTTCCGCGTATCATTCGTGTGAGATGATCTGAAAACACGTATTGATTAAGGTATGTTAGTAAAATGATACAAACAAATGCAGAGAGTGAAGCATCCAAACTAGAAATGTGGGGAGGCCGATACCCAGAAGCCGAGGAGGCGGCTCAGCTCGCTGCTTGCTTTGCGTATGAGTGGCAAGAAGCTCTGGATCAGATGCTGAGACATTGGGAGACGCCTCCAACTAATTCCGGATACTAAACGCAGTACCTATGTATCTTTTGGGTACTAATGAGCAAGGAAAATGACCATGAACTAAGACAATGGTGCGGAACACTGGTGGCATTACGCCATACTTTTGTTGAAAGTTCTTCTTAGCATTTTCGGTGCCGGTCTTCTCTTGTGATTTTGGGATCCTTCACAGTATATATCTTGGCGGCCCCCTTTTTCTTGTGTAATTTCAAGTGGCATAGATGAAATCAATAGCATCGCAGGTGAAGTGAACAGGTTCATCAGGGATTTTAATTTTCAAACCTCAGGGAAAAAGGGGTGATGGGACTACTTGGAGGCGTATTGAAAAGGAGCGCTGGATTTGCTTTATTGTTCTTTTCTTTTTCAGAATCTTTGGGCGGAAACAGGTTTTGACTTGTGGAGCTATGCGCATTTTGCTGAACAAAAAAATAGATCAAATTTCAATTAGACTTTTTATATCCTTCACACCATCCGATTCCAGATCGAGAACAACAATATGACTCGACTGAAAGCCTACAGAAGTGCAGAGCTGCGTATATGACGCCCCTACGAAACAAAGAGACAGAATGAACACGCAAAAACAATAATGCCGGGCCAAAACATATATGCTACCCAGCTTTCCCATAAATTTAGAAAGATATCCCTCTCATAAAGTCAAGAAAGCCCTTGCCAAGCTATAAATGACGACTATACCACATCACGTCACCTAGAAAGCCATGCGAGTGCCTCATGAGCCTCATTTTATCTTTACACCACGATACACGCCGCGTCAACGGATACGCGCGGCACAATTCTCAGTATGCGACTTTATATGTATGATTGATCGTAATGATGACACCAAGAAGCCTACAGACTTGCGCAGCTTGAGTGAGTCGAGCCTCATTCATGGACTAAGTCTTCAAGCACACGACGCATTGGCACAGTACATATAATGTAGTTGGATGGGGGACTTGAGTAGTAGGATTAGCAGGGCTGTCTCAGAGTAGAAACTCACGTTATATGTGATGGTGAGGGCATAAGCTCTTTGAGAGACTGGACGTGATATACTTGTTTTCTGTATCTGGTTTAAGCTTTGATGCTATAGCATTTCATTGGTCTGAGTGAGGTGCAATACAAAATCTCTGATCTGTGCTATGCTGAGATCTTGAGGTCGTAAAAAGACTGGATGGATTCGTACAGCTCCTTGATTCGAAGGATGAGAGGTTCTGTAATAGAGGTCTATTGTTCTAAACGGCTTAACACAATAACAAGAAAAGTCCTCTTTTATTTTGTAGAATGATCGTTCAATTCCAACAATAGGACTGGAAGCTCAGCATGGGAAGACCGTAATAGAAATAAAGCCCAACATACTATTGTCTGGAGCTTCGAGTTCGTCTTTTATCAGATTGGCAAGAAAGCAAAGAGATATATCTTTGTGTATATCCAAAACAAATCTGCATGTTTTCGGACTCTAATAAGGAATCCGAATAAATACAAAGATTGTATTAGGAGCTTCTTCAAGATGTCCTTCACAAGCCTTTTGCCCCATATCAACAGAAATCCATCTTTCGGTAAAATTCAGTTGCTCAAAAGGCTTTCCATTCGTTGACCTTGCCTTCACTACTCAAAATCCAAAGACTGTTTATGAATGATGAAAATGCAATCTTGAAATTATCATTGAGATGAACACTAGGTAGTGATCAATCAAGTGAATACTGTAGTCCGCAAATTCACCTTTAATATATTTGATGCCTTGAGGCCTCATCCCTTGCTATTTCGTCCGAAAACTCTCGATGGCCAGAGAAAAACAATTTCCACTAGTGAATTGATGGAAAGAAAACTAAAGGAACGTATCTCCTGCGCAAACTTTTTTCCTCAACTTTTCTTCTACAAAACAACAACCATCCAAGATGTTTCCCATCATGGTGTCCCCAGTCATCACGTCTCCCCAGCCAGCCAAGGAGAACAAACTTACTAGAGCTTGGGCAAGAATGTCCGGTGAATCTCAAGCAACCGATTTGAAATTGCCTGGCGAGAGAATTTCAAGTGATTTGAGACGCACTTCAACGGTTATTTCCAAAGGAATGAAACCCCCTCTTGAACCACACAAAAGACGTGCCAGCGTACAGCTGGAGCCGACTACGAAGAAGATGGATACCGTTGGAGAAGAAGCCGCCGGTGAACTTGGGGGTTTTGGTGGACTTGGAATCAATTTCTATGATCAGCTTGGCAACAGAATTGCGCCACAAGCAATTGTACCTGCCGAAATACCAATAAGTGCACCTCCTCAAATACCAAGGACTCAATCTCCTCGAGCGCCGGGTACTCAGAAGCCCATGTCGCCGCTGCCAAAGGGTACGTGCCTTCTTTCCTTCGTCATGTATTGCTCTAAATCACATTGCCGCGAAAACCTACCTTGATGGATGCTTAATTGTTGTGCTGTTCTACAGATCCGCCTGTCGTCGCACGATCACCTTTGGTAATTCGCGAATCCTTCACTCGAAACTTCAGCTTTCCTGAAAATCCAGACCCAGAAGCTATTGTCGATAGCGACGCTTTCCTTGGTGATCTTCTTGAAAGAACCCTACGCGAGCAATCCGAAGCTCTTTGTCCAAGTCCAACGGGGAGCAGAAAGAGCTCCATTCGCATCAATACACCAAAGAGTAGCCGTCAAGTCTCTGCTGCCAAGCCAATTACAACTTCTGGTCCCTTTGGAATGAGAAATTATACGGCACCAATGAATATAACTTCTTCGTCCGAGCTCACGTATACAACAACCCGAGGCCCAAAATTAGGTATTACAACATCATTACCACATTCGCGAATTCTGAGCTTGCGAACACCGAGCGTTACTGAATCAGATGTGGTTGATTTTTTTAATACTGGAGTTGTCAGTAAAGAAAATAGTGGTTTTACTCCCGAAGCAGTAACAAATGAAACGTCGTTCCCACTAAATTCGAAGATTTACCGAATCCCATCATCCCCTACAATTGCCAAGCGCTCTTCCCGAAATAAGCCGTCTAAGCCACAACGAGGTGAACTTTACTTCTTCGAACACGAACGACAAAAGATTGAACAACTCGTTGCGCAAAGTAAAAATCGAAATTGTACGGAGCATCAAAATTGTACTGATTGTATTGAGAAAGAATACGCATATTACGAAAACAAAATCATGTCTACTTCAATGCCCCCAGAGCGTCGCCAACAGATCATGAAGGCCAACAGATCTATTCGCAATATCAAGAATGTGAATTGACCTCTCTCCTTCTCTTGGTCTCCAATTTATACTAACAATTTGCAGGAGCTTGAAAACCTTCTTGAAGATGAACTCATCACTTACGAGGTGTATGAGCTTATGATTAGCAAACTTCCCTCGGAAAACAGTTTGAACTCGACATCCTCCCCCGCTCCTCGTGCCAACGTTGTCGCTCCAGCACCAGTACCTGTTGTACCAGTTGCCGCATTCTCACAAATGAATGTCAGTAACGATAACCCTCCACCATCGTACCAATCTACTCCAAACCTTCCTCCCCGCGGACCAACTCAGCCACCCGCTCGACCAGAAATCGGACGCGCCACCGCTCTTTACCGTTATACCGAACCCGAAGACTGCAACTTCGATGTTGGTGATATTATCATCATCTACGAATACATGAACGATGATTGGTGGATGGGCAAGAATGAAAAGACTGGAAGAGAGGGTGTGTTCCCATCGAACTACGTCCAGAAGCATCAAAACATGCCTCCTCAGGGCACCTATTATGGCAACGAGAAGGCCACATACTCCCCATATGGTGCTCAACAACAAGTATCCGTACCACCCGGACCAAGCAACCCTTACAATAGCTCTGTTCCCCCAATGGCTGTCGCAGAACAACCTACTGAAGAAAAGCCTAGCAAGGGTGGAGAGATGGGTAAGAAGTTTGGTAAGAAATTGGGCAATGCCGCTATCTTCGGTGCTGGAGCTACGATCGGTGGAAACATTGTCAACTCGATTTTCTAGATATTCTGGTTGTCACACTTCTTGAAGTAAAGATTCTCCGACGTCTGTGTAACAATTACTCGGGGGACACAAGATAGACTTTTCCTATCTCCAAGTATCGATAGCGGTTTGAAATATCTACAGTTGGCTTTTTCACTCTGAAGGGTCACTATTTTTGAGTCGGGAGTTTTCTTATATTACGGCAATGCATGTTTTGATTACAGCGTTGCTCTTCTCGGTTTCATATATTCGGAGTTCTGGCAGGAATTGAATCCTTTTCTGTATTCGCGGTTTTTGCACCATCTATGAAAGGACTACTGGACTTTCTTAATATTGTGTTTTGGGATTCAAATACAGATTACTTTCCGGTTGTACCTAGAAATACCTGATTACTGAATAAAACGAATCTTTCATTTTAATGGTGGACATTCTACCAATTTATCATTATGATACGTGCATCGTGATAGTTTCTCCTTTAAATGGACAAAGAGCCACATCACGTGTAGATAGCAGATAGATAACGGCATTAGAAGTTGGTCGACGTCACTGTCGCTGTTGCCCCGCAATTGCATTAATATCCCCCTGTCCATCTTTTCATTCCTCCTCGTTCTTCCTCTTTACACTAACGAACAAATTTAAGAGAAGCAATATCACTTCAAAACCTCAAGTCTTCCGCATACAACCACAATGCAAGCTCAACATGGACACAGCGCAGCCTGCTGCAATATCCCACCTATTGTATCTAAGGGATATGAACAAAAGGGAACATATGAGACTATTGGTGGTCTAAAAACCTGTAAGTGTTCCGTTTCAATTGAATCTCAACATAAATCTACTGCCATGTCAGTCAAATAATTTTGGCTACAAGCCTTCCTTGCCCCATCACCATGCTCCCTTTCACCCCCACCTCTCAGCTCTAGCTAATACAACCCCCTTCCAGACGTTACTGGCCCACCGGATGCCACAAAGGCCATCTTCCTTATCTATGACATTTTCGGCTACTACCCCCAAACCATTCAAGGCGCTGATATTCTCGCCAATGCCGACGAACACAACAAATACCTCGTTTTCATGCCAGATCTTTTTGAGGGAAACCCAGCTGATATTAGCTGGTATCCACCTGATAATGAGGAAAAACAACAGAAGTTGAGTAATTTCTTTCAGACGACAGGAGCTCCACCAAAGGCTGCTGGAAGAGTTCCGGATTTAGTCAAGGCTATGGGTGAGAAGTATTCGTCGATTGAGAAGTGGGCTGTCCTTGGGGTGAGTGATTTTTTGATCCAAGATTTCTGTGATTTAAGATGAAGTTGAGGGTCTGTGAATGAAGCTTTGTAGCTAATCTGTGTTCAAACAGTTCTGCTGGGGTGGTAAAATTGTCTCTCTCACTACCTCTGCTTCCTCCAATCCTTTCATGGTAGCTGCCGAGTGTCATCCCGCTATGGTCGATTCTAAGGATGCAAGCAACATCAAGATTCCTACTATTATGTTAGCATCAAAAGATGAAGATGCAGAGGAGGTGAAGAAGTTTGAGGCAAATCTCACTGGGGAGAAACATGTCGAGACTTTCAAGGATCAAATTCATGGGTATGTCACTTCTACTATACGTGCAATTTCTATGTGCTGATATCTGAGGGAATAGATGGATGGCTGCAAGATCAGATCTTGAGGACGAGAGAGTCAAGAGCGAGTATGAGCGAGGTTATGAGACGCTCATTGAGTTCTTCGAAAAACATCTCAAATAGGAGCTTTCTTTATTTTGAGACTATTGAACCCATCAAGAAACTTCGCTGAGGTCTATAGGACCAATAAAACTAGCGGAGCAAGACTTGGATGGTGATTCGGTGAATGTTTACTTATAGTGCAGCCTTTCGTTTGCAAACAAATAAGCATTTTGAAAACCCTTGTGTCGTAAGCACCAGTAGAGACTGTTCGGCCTGCTACAAAAATGTTTGTGATCACTAAGCTCAATAGTACCCAACACTTATTGTGTTAATTGGTAACATTCAAATGATAAAGCCTGCCATGGACTTGCTGAATTTGTGTAAAACATCATTGTGCAATAAACTATCTAAGTCGATCTTTTTCCCATTGGGACGGCCGTGGATCATAACCTTCACTCTGTGCCTATCCTTATCTCATGGAACTCTGTACAATCACGATTCTTCACATTCCCTCCCCATTTAAGACCACCACTTATTAAGCAACAACACTTGGTTCATAGTACACACAGCACATCCCCTCAATCCCCAAAGTCTTTGCCTCGCCCTTGAACCATTTATGTGCTTCACATGAATCCTCGTAATATTTCATATCTTCCAGATTCTTGAACTCAGTTTTTGCTACCACGGAGAAACCTTGGGTGCGGGGATCGTTGGCTTGAGATTCGCCAGCTTGTAGGGAGACGATATAGGGGGCTGAGTCCTAGGAGAGAGTGTTAGTTGGGTAGCAAGGGGGAAGATTGGAGAAGGTTGGTTACCTTGACGGCCTTTTTGGATAAGGTCTCGTAGTTCTTGAGCATCGTGTCCCGGGATGCTTGGGAGAGTACTTTGAACATGGTTACGCGGATTACGCCTGCCATTTTTGCTGTGTGTGGAATCAGTGAAATTTGAGGATTTCGAAATGCGTGAGATGGATGTGATGTTGTTATTAGTTGATTAATTACAATCTGATGATTCCAATCTGTACAAAATAGAAAGGAAAAGAGAATCAAAAAATTGCTTGACCAGAGTCCTCTTATATATCACAGAACTTGCGGAAAGCTTCGACCTACCAAGCTACTAATGACTACTTATTAGGAATGTCTCGTATTAATTGATAACAGACCGGATATTTGCGGCTTCAGCTGACGAATACATACAACAGCAATATGCAATTGATTTCTTTTGAAGCTGGGCTCAATATGGTATGGATAGCTATGCGCGCTTGTGCAACCCGAGGGTATTAGAGCGATGCCGAGCTGAGTTTGGTGGGGCGGTGGTGTGCATATGTATATGTATGAAGTCGTGGGTTCTGGTGAGGGGTGGTTGGTGGGTCGAGAGGGGTTTGTGGGGACGGAAATGGTTCCGCGAGATGGGAATGAGGGATTGAGGAATGGGGAGTGATTGGAGATTTAAAGAGGGATAATGGATGTTGTCTTGTTATGTTGTACGGAGTATAATTAGATTACTGATTTTCGCGTATAGAGTAGTACTCTTGCAATAGTCACGTAATGGCGGGCTAAGTTGGAGCAACGGAAACTTGTTTTCAGCCAACGATCAAAAGATCGAAGCTCATCAATGTCGGATTGATGAGACGCGCCGATGATGCACACTGACGCGTCGATAACGTGTATCGAATCGAATTGATAGGATTAGTCAAGGTCGTTTTTTATCCCATTCAAGAGCGTGCGATCTTAGATGAAGAAGCAATCTACTGGCGATGTGGATGTATTGGACATCCAAGTTTCTGCAAAACAAGGCTGTTTGGAGGTCTTCCAAGGTAGGATTTGGTGCAACCCCAGCCTTAGCGGAGATATAACTCGAGTGATACCCCGCAATGGCTTGTTGAAGGCGTTGATGGTTTTTGTGATTATTGTTTCATGAACATCACTGTGTACTCAAAGTTTCTATCTTATTTGGAAATAGCGTCTGATGGAAAGCCAACTCACAAACACGTCGGACGCTCTCGGTGCGATTAAAACCCTGTACGACACGGGCAAATATGCAGATATGAAAATTCGCTGCGAAGACAAAGTGTTCGATGTCCATCGTGCGGTAGTTTGCATTCGATCCCCGGTGATTGCTGCGGCTATGGATGGTGATCGTTGGGTATGTAACAGTCCAGATCAAAGTGATGGGCATTATCTCACCAAACTCTAGAAAGAAGCTGCAAAGGGCGAATACCATATGAGTGATGAGGAGCTGCCAATTGTGGAGGCGATGATTAAGTATTTGTACCGTGGAAGTTATGATGATCAGGTAGCTTTGGAAAGTGAAGCTTCGGCGGATGATGATTCGCAGGTTGGATTGCCGTCGCATCCCCCCAAACAGGTGGGAGGAATATTCGCGGATCCATCGGGCCAACAACGTGAAATTAGGCGGCTGGCTTTTGGAGGATTCGGAGGATCCGGACTGAATACTGGATTTGGACAGAATAATGGATTTGGACAGAATACTGCTTTCGGACAGGCGGCTCCTCAAGTTGCTCCCATTACGAAACCATCATCATTGCTCTTCAACGCCAAAGTGTACATTATCGCTGATAAATACATGATCCCAGCCCTCAAAAGTCTAGCACATGAGAAGTTTACAAAAAGTTTGAGAGAACATTGGAACACTCCAGAGTTTACTGCTGGTGCAGAGTTCCTCTGGGAAAACACTCCTGGATCTGACATGCTCCTTAGGAGAGCTCTGGTTGCGACTGCTGCGACTCACATAGATGTTTTACTTGATAAAGGAGAGTTTGTCGAGTTTATGTCAGAATATGGAGATTTTGCTGTGGGGGTTATGAAGAGGATGAAGGGAAGAGATGACTCGGTTGTGACTACTCCCAATGTTGACCAAGGGGCCAGGAATTCCGGAAAACATAATGTGGTGCTGTTACCTAGACATGTGAGGCAATACATCTAGTTTACTGACGAATTGCCTACGATTATGATTCATTGAAGTCAGTGGCAATTATCTTTGTGTACGTTTGAATGAGCTATATGAACTGTTCTTTCTGAAAATCTTCGTAAGACTTTTGTATGCAGAGTAGTGATTCAGAGTAGTGATGCAGAATAGTGATGCAGAGTGGAAGGAGGAGAGCGGAGAGTGGGAGGTGAAGAGTCTCAACCCATCGCTATTGTAGACAACCTTTAAGACCATGAAGTTCCATAAAGATTTCTAAGCTATTGATCTATAAGTTAACTTAAGTATAATGGAGTCGTATGGTTTTTTTTGATAAATATGAGTAAGTTAGCCATTGACTCAAGTTTGAGTCAACCTACAATCGAAGACAGTCATAATACACACGTGACTTAGGCGCCTATGTGCTTGCTATCTCCTCGTCCTTGACTTCTCTTCTACAACAATTTACACGAACATTACTTGATCAGCGCTATTCAACGATGGAAATGGCTATGAGCGAGTCTGATCGACCATTATCTCTAGAGAGTTTTGCAAATACAGACAACGAAGAACATATGTTGATCGAAAATGCAATGGATGGTGCATTAGTATCACGTCCATCATCGGCACAGGGAAGTTTTGCGCATGAGGAAGACGAGGAACGCGATCATGTGTTGAGCGATGAAAATGCAACGATGGAGACGTTAGCGGCGGATTTTGATAGGCAATCATTAGGGGATGAGAGCTTGCCAGAAGAAAGGCGACAACACAATATTGGGATGGCGTGCAAATATTGCGTTTTATGTCAAGCTCAGTTTCCCCCATTTTTTTCAGAAATCTCAGGTATCGACACAATCTGGCGATGGCGACAAAAACGACAAGTGCAACCATGGGAATACAAATTTCGTGCCGGTAAGCAAGCTGTTTGAACAGCACATTTCTTAAGTTTGTTGACAGATGTTGACGCCAACTTTAGTCATTGAAATGAATAGATATGAAGAAGAAGAGGAAGATTTTGGGATCACAGGACTGATGATTTTTCCAGAAGGTGATAGTCAAGACAAGCTTGTGGCATCGATACCTTCTTCATCTACCGAATTTCTTTTAAACATGGTTCAACGTCCAGATAACCCACCTTATTGTGAAGCGTTCTGCTTCCATGATTGGTGTTATTCGATTCTTTGCTGGAGGCTGGAAAATTACAGTGATGCTACTTTACATAAAGTTTGCAAAAGTCTTTCAATCTCCCCAGCGTGGGAGAATATCGCAGAGTCTGAAGGTTGCTTGTATGACCAGGTTGTCAGAAATAACCTATTATCAGATATGACCGAGCTTGGTCCAAAGTACCAACCTTTATTCTTGTCGAAGCTACCCCTAGAGTTGAGGGCACTTGTTTGGAGATACGCCGGCCCATCATCTGCTTATAGCTCGTTTATGATCGTGGCCGGCGAGAAATCACGTTTGTTCTACCAGATGCATCGTCCAGCAGACCTTGCTTTGGCATTATACCCCAAATCACATCTTGTTCCGAGAATGATCAAGATCTTCGGCACAGATTATATACAGAGTCTCTGTGCTGAGTCAACTACAATTCCGATCACCGACTCAGCAACTGCTTGCTCCTACAGACTCGCAATAGGAACTCGCGGTATATGTGCAATCCAAATAGTCAGTGAGGATGGATCGTTTTATTGGGTTGGTAAAATTCCTACATCTGGTCTCGTTTGGTATGTCGGCGCTCAACGTGATTTTCGCAGAGACGTTAAGCTTCATTACACTTTCAAAGTTAGTATTTCAATGCTCAAGAGCTTGATAAAAGAACTAAATCTAGCAGGGTCTCAACATAGATGTACGCAAAATGCAAAGATTCAATAACGGAATATGGGACAGAGTTGATTCACCAAAATGGTCACATAGAGGGTCTTTCTTGGATTATATTCGCCGAGACGGGTATAGCTTATACAGATATATCCCATTCCATAGGGGATATGAATATACTACAGGAATAACGATTCACTATCACAAGGAATTTGTTACTGGGATGGAGGCTTCTTATGGGAAAGCCACTGAGCTCGTTGGAGTTTACAGCGGTGTGGCTCTTCACTTGCCTCTGGAGTCTAATGAACGCATATCTTATGTATGGATCAAGCTTGAGAAAAATAGGATTCGGCGCTATTACGATCCAGCATTCATTGTTAGTTGTATACTCATGGCCCCCCTCCTGGTGCTTAATAACTTATACCGATTTAGATCCAAACCACACATGGAAGGACATGCCATCTGGGCCCATATGTCCCCCATGATGAGTACAAATTCTACCAGTGGCATCGTTTAACATCTCATGGGGAAACAACGGGAATTTATGTTGAGAATTCCGACTGGACCTTGAGGAACTTCAATATCATCAGTGATAGAAATGAAGTAGAGCCTATGCAACCAATACTTCACTACGAGACACCAAAACAACGACCTCACATCTACTTTCCTCAAAATTCCAGATACGGTGACTATGATCTTTATTTCAGTTCTGCAAAGTTCTCGCAAATGAAGAGGGTGACTTTATGTAGGATCAATGAACGCTGCATGGGGATTCTGATAAATTACCTAGATAAGCCGCCTGTCGTTTTGGGGCAATGGTATAAAACAGAGGTATGAAGTCATCAGATCATATACGATAGAAGCCATCCTCCGCCTTCGAAAATAATGTTCCGATCGGCAAGATTCGAGAACTCCGAAGAAGGTTTTGTGGTAGATGTCAGTTTCACACAGGAAGAACTCCCAGCAGATAATGATACAAATGATCAAATACAGGCATTTGATCTTGCACTTGATGAGGTTCAAATTCCATAACGCAATGATCTCTTTAACCAACATCACTAACGTTTGATAGCATATCGTATGGTGGTTCACCAACTCCACGGATCTAATTAGCCTCTGGCATCCAGGCGACCAGTCTGCACATAGGGTAGAAATGAAGGAAATCATTTGTCGGGATTACGAGATCCAGCATGTCATAATTCAAGCACAAATTGTAATATAAATATCATAGAAGTAGAAATTTTAATCTATAAGAACATGATTTTCTAACTCCAGAGGGTTTCCGTTTCAATTTCATACTGTGCCCCCTTGGGATCGACTTTGTGTGACATTGCCAAGTCATATCTTCACAGCACTGTTGCTAGACCCTAAACCACAATGTAATAATTACGACTAGCCATGCCCCAATTCACATAAGCAAAAAACCTTCCGCGAACTCTCAGTCTAATGCAGTCTGATCAGGAATCTCATTCTCCAAGGTCACGATTGGTGTTCGATCAGTACTAAATTCAAACCACATAAGCTGTCTGAATCACGGTTGAGTGTCTCCGTACTCGAACAGCGAATTTTAACTGCATGAGTGACACTTGATTGTTAGTATGAATCGTATAATTTAATCCCATATGACATCTATAGATTTGTTAATTCTGGGGGTGAGGGGAGAAGAGAAAATGTCTTTGACCCTGTATTACCGTGTCTTCGGGCTTGTGTATTCAGGTTCCAGGGTAAATCGACTGCTGGCTACAAAAATAGATAACCTTCTGGATTACAAGCCGATATTCGCAACTGTGCTGCTCTGTAAAGAGCTTCTGTGGTACCGTCAAGGATAAGGCCATGTTTCCGAAAATTGGGACGGCTAGCCATTATAAAGGAGTATATAATATATATAAATGACTGGTGCTATGAAAGAACTGAATAGTAACAATAATGAAGATAGAAAATGCTGATGAGTAGTCTCAACGAAAGTTCATGTCTTTATACATCTACTGAACCCCCCCCCCCCCCGTCCCTCTCCTTTTCTCCTACTTCCCTGCATCAAACTCTAATCACAAGAACCACCAAAGATATCCTCGCTGTAAGAGAATCTCTTAGAAGAACAACTTCGAGTGGCTTTGAGTGCTTCTAGGATAACTGAGCGCCACGGATCCGGAAGTTATGTTTCACCTTCTCCATCTTGCGCATGGCGTCTCCTTTTCGATACCAAGATATCGAAAGATAATTCCTAAACACTGGTACACCAACAGTTTGAATGAGAGGTACAGAAACCTGTGGTTGAAAATCCACAGGACGTAACACGACCTTACATGCGGCCAGATTCTCTTTTCGTCACTTAACGCGGAAATTGGCACCAGCTGCATAATTGACTGGGCTACCGGGTCTCCACTTTGGCTTACCAGATTGCTGGAATTCTTGAAAATTTCGGGTTCTTTAAGAGCCAATCATATCTAGCCGCTCAAACAACATGAGGTGTTTGGAAGTTCTGCAGGGGAGCCTCGCTAAAGTAGGTGAATAGTACCGCGCGGTTATGCAGCATGGAGATTTGTTCATTGGGTTTGGTCTTTTGGTATCAATATCTGCGGAAGCTTGGCACGAACTTTCCTTATATGCACTGTTGTTGCAGATCAGTTGTTTGCTAAGATGTTGTGTTTTTATTGTTGAGGATCGAGCAATCGGTAAGCATTCGATGTTCGGACAAGCGAAGTTCGATTTTTGGGGCTGGTCATGAGAGGAAAGCGCAGGATAATTTGATTGAGCATATTTTCGATTGGAAGTAAGGGTTCTGATATCACTACAAGTTTTTCAACATACTATCACATTTACATCTGACCTTCCACATTCCACCCTCCACCCCAGAACTCCACTCATCACACCCAACAATCTCCAACCATCTCTCCCCCATCCCTATCCCCAACCCCACTGGTATCTCAATCATCATCACCTCTCCACACATCCTCAACCTCCTATTCCCTCACCCATCCCACCCCGCAAATCCCCAAATCCACAGCTCCATATTCTCTCCAACAGAATATCCCAAAATTATTCCATAAATATAACACAACATTCCCCAGAATTCATCACAATCCCCAAAACATGCAAATTTTCCTGATCCAATCGTCTGGAATTCTCGATTCGCAATTCTTGTTTTGAGATACTAGAGAAGTGAGGAATAGGGAAGTGAGGAAGTTTTTTGGGAATCGAAAAGGAATCTATAAGGTATAAGCGAGAATAGATAATGGCTAAGAAGGGGTGCGGTAGTTAATTAATAGAATTAGGAGGGAGGACTGGGGTTAGGATTTAGGACTGAGGTTTGGACCGCTGATTGAAAGGGGATTGAGGAGAGAGAGGAAAGAAGGTGCGGGATTCTTCTGCGAGAATGGAGAGGATAGAGGGATAGGATATGAAGGCATGTGTACTTTTGGTTTTGAATGCAGCCCAAGTATGGATGTGGAGGGATGGAGATACTAAGAGGAGAAAGTATGGGGTAATTGAACTGTGTTTTTGCTAAGAGTTCTTAGGAGTCTTGGATTGATTGTTTTGATTTTGGAATTTCGAGATGCGGCAAAGGTGATACCAAATATCTCGTCCATGGCTTGGGCTACCAAGTTTTATTTCTCACTACCACTTCTTCCTTCAAATTTTGAATTTCAGAAATCCTGACGATGTCCGGCTCAGAATCTATCAGTTGCGCGTCATAAACTTTCATCCTCACCATCCCATCAGCATTCAAATCCTCCCACTTAAACCTCAGCACCTCTAACCCATCCGCCTTGCATCCCTCTCCATTTCCACACCTCACTCCCTTCTTCTTCTCTCTCCGTATCTTCCTCCCCACCCCCCCCGCCCATGCTCTAAACCCCACACCCAGAAACGCGCTCTCCCTCATCAGCCCATCACTCCACCCCAGCTCCATTTTATTCTTCCCTCCGTCCCAGAGACAAAAACGCTCTGAATAATTGCAATCATCATATTTATTGCATATGGAGCACAGGAACCGTTTTTCGCAAGAATGAGAGAGATCTATCTGCGTCATTAGCTCTTGAGAAATTTCGATTGTATGGAAAGTTTTGAATGGGATTTGAGATAGAGAAGTACACGATATGTCCATGATCCGTCTCGGGGTTTGAGAGTTAATTTATTTCCGCAGCGGATTGCGAAGGGCAGGTGGAGTGCAATATTTTTTGGTATTTGGTCGGGGAACATAGAAGATGGATAGAAAGGCGGGTGAGTTTGGATATTCATTATATGATAGGACTTGATGGGGAAACATGGTTCTTATGGTATCAGTCTTGTTTGTTGTGAGTACATTTTTCGGGCTTGAGTTATGGTTGTAGTTCTGAGACTCCTACTCCTTTATGAGTGCTAAATAGCATCATAAGTCTCATCGTCGTGAATTTTGGTATCACGATTCAGCCACAGGTCCAACCTGAAGGCACTTGACGTTACATATAATCCTTTCAAAAACGTAATTATTTATGAGATAACCATTTTTTATGTTTCTATACAAGCAAAGAAAATTTCCGCGTGTAGATATATAAGAATAGAAGTAGCAGAGGCGTTCCATTCTCTCTCTTTAGATTCAAGCGCTCATGATACGACATCCGACAATGACAAAAATTTCATGTAGGAATCTTCAAACTATAATTATAAATATACACAAAAATTGCACACCGTATCTCGCCCCATAATCTTTCTACTGTAAAGCAATTGGACATCCCAGATTTCCAAACGAAGGATTCAATTTCTTCATAACAAATTCAAGTGTGCCAATAGAGGGATTAACAAAACTGTTCAACGAAGAAGGAATACTTTGAGTAGCAAGTTGATAGAGCAGGCAAGAAGCTTCCAGAGAACCAGGCGTTGCAACCAATGTTCCATTTTTGATGCTTCCAAAGTTGATGAGATCAAAGCCACGATTTCCGGTAGCACCGCCGAACAAAACTGGTTCTTGGAGATATAGAGCAAGAATCTCATTTGTGGCATCGGTATGAGAATATGGAGTGACACGGTTTGTCCAGTTATCTGGGATTCTTTCCTCGCCCGTGAAGGAATATGAACCATCTGAATTTTGCTTGGCACCGAAGAATGTAGAAATGGTATCATAGTCTGGTGTGTAATTTTTTGTTCCGGATGGCATCAACTCGTACAAGAAAGAGGCAGCACCGAAGAGAAGCAAAGAAGCGGGACCGAAATAGAAATATGGGTTGTCCTTTAGAGATTGTTGGTAACGCTGTGCTCGATATTTCGCAAGTCCGTCACGGTTGTAATTGCCACCGGTAGTTTCCGTCATCATTCCAAAAAGTGTTCCGTTAAATGAATAATTGTCGCCATCAGCAAGGAAATGATCGTTGCGTGTGAGTGATGTATCAGCCTCGAACTTGTTGTGTGCATTCAAGCCGGGTTCTGAACCACTCGTAGCTGGTAAAAAATATGTTCGTGAGGTGGCATCACACCCGATGGAAAGCTTCTCGGTTACGATATCGCCATCGGTTAATGTGAGGCCAAGAACGGCAAGAAGATTAGCCAATTCATAGCCAACGTTGTACAAATTTTGTTGAGCATCAACAAGCTCATTATATGTTGTAATGCCATCTCGAGCAAGAAAATTGTGATTGGCGGCCGCATTCAAACCTGGACAAGGTCCACGAACATCGGTCGATTTTGGAGCGATAAATTGATGATCAGTATCTCCAGAAGCTGGAACCTGATACCCTCCCTTTCCTTTCCCTGGAAGGCCATTCTTAGCACCGTTATATGGGTAAGCATCTGAAATACCCGGAGCGTTGATGTGATTTGCATTAAATGGGCAAGAAGCAGTGTCTGGTTGCTGCTGTTTCTGTCTGTGTAATAGACTAGAGTCGACACCAGGCATTTTAGCAACAAACGGGAAAGCTGTAACAGTTCCAACCATAAGGGTCGCTGCAATAGAAGAATACTGCATCGTGAAATATGTGTAATGTATGGATCCAAAGATTGCTTGGTATCGTGATTGATGGATGTAATAATGATGAAGGAGGGGTGATGATGGAGTATTGAGATGTAGAGCAATTTGCCTACTAAGTGAATGGCCCAGCACACTAACGGCTGAACCCATACCAAGATGATTCTAGCATAACTCTTCCTCAGGAGCATCCAAAATTTAATTAGCGTTATCGAGATAAATCCACTATAGACAGATCTAGCACCTCCAAGCGGTGAAACAGAGGCCGTTCAGTTGACAGGTGAGACCTATATTTACAGGTCTTCTCAAGCATCCATACATTTTTGAGAAAATCATTCCTTTTTCTTCGCGCTCTTTACCATCATCCATTGTAAAACAGTTTGAAAATTCTGTCCTCGGAAAATTCCTAAAGCCAAGCTTCACTTAGGACAGAAAGAACGAGCTTCTCCAAAAAGGCTGTCTAGAAGAAATAGGAGAACCGAAGATCTTCTGCTGAGGTGAGTTCTTTGTCAGCAGAATCCTTACTGACCAACTGACTATTGAATGATCAACAGCAGTAAATTAAACTATGTATTCATCGGAAATTTGTATCTACAATCATCTAGTTTATCGCAATGAGATTCATGGGGAAGGTATACTATACCGCCACTGCATGTCACATATAATCGAGCACCGAGGTGTCCACCTCGTTCCTCTTTGTTAGAAACACTGATGGATCTAGCTCTGATTCTAATCTGCTCATTTCATGCCACAGTAAGCAGCAAATAAACTCGGCATTATTGTGGTAGCACATTTTCTTCTCTTTTAGCTTCACGATAGTATATTTTGCAGTCAGTTGAGAGAAATTGTACTCATAGAGAGGGACCCAGCCACCTATCAGTCCTTCTACCCCGCGTTATATTGCTCGATGATTCAGAAAAATAAGAATGGGAATGAAACTAGACAACGAGTGATGATGTAGTGAGGCAATTCCGTATCTGGTCTACAAACTCATGAGATTGCACGAGAGCCCGCTGGTACTCTCGACCCAGACCACTAGGTCTGAGTGCAAAGTATAGCAATGGCAGGCCTTCGATTGGAATGTTCCGGAGTTCTGGGGTCCACAATTGAATTGAATGTTGAGATAGGGGGAGGATCGAGACTTTTCACGATTGTTCTTGACTCCCTATTGTTTGAGTTTGTAGGGAAGCTTGTCTCGGTCAGCGGCAGCGATCGACAATAAACAGATTGTAACAGATTCATCGTCTATGTCTGGCGCCGACATCAATACAATTATTGGTGAAACGAAAATTTGAATCATCGACCTGAGGAGGTACATGCGAGGAAGTAAGTCTACATATTGAGACAGTCAATTTAAAAGTAGCTACCACGAGTGATCTCTTTGCAGTAGAAAAAGTCATTCTCGCAAAAGACCAAGAGTCTTCTGTTGCCAGAAAATATTCGGAATTCCAAAGATACCTTTCTGAAACAAAAGTATATTCTCGAATCAAGTTGAGCTTTTGTGATTGTCTTGTGATGAGATGTGTCGGTATCGAGAGTGAGCAGACAATCCACCAATCCTGTCCCAGCTGCCAGTATCGATTATTCGGCAAAAGAGTGTAATTATAAATCCATGGCGAAAGCCAGGTCTGTGTTTATTAAATGTTGCCTAGAATAGCCAGCGGGCGGCAGGATAGATCACAGTCTGGCGTGGATATACTCACACCATTATCTTCAATTACTAGAAAAATCCATCTCTTGGACCATCATACCAATAATTTTTGCTACTTTGTCCTTTGACGAAGAGATACTTTTAGTTCTGTCTTCTTCTGAATATTGAGATGTGTTCCTCTTTAACATTCATGGTCCGTCGTTTCGCAATAATGAAAGAACTGTGATACAAACACTTCATATGAAAGTCGTTGGTACATATCGTTTGAGGGTGATAAGTATACCACCAACGACTCAGAAGGTCGCAGTTCACATTAGAACAGCTGCCGAAAATACATCTTTTGTAATATGATAGCTTGTACCAACACTTCATTCACACCAAATCATGTAGCTGAGTAATAGTAATTCGGGAAAATGGGCAACTTCGAGACTGTTCTGGTCAACCTGATCAATCTCAAGGAAGCTTGGTGAATAGTGAACGGGTTTCGAAGCAAAATGTTGTTTGGGGCTATTTAGAAAGATGAAGATTTCTCGAAGAAAAGAATGAATGAAGAAGGAGGAGATGGAATTCACTGGTCGGTAGCCGAGAGAGTTTGAGGAGCAGAGTTGCCTTCGTTCCTTGCTTCTCCATACTCCGAGTGTCTTCCCCATTCAACGTTCAATGCCTTCAACTTGACGATATCTAATACCTAGGAAGGACTAGGTATGCAAAACTATGATTCTGATTCTTAGACCTGGACTCTAAATACCAACTTCTTATCTGAACCGTCGAACCAAGCGAACCTGAAAATTGCAATCGATAATTGTCATCATGTCGAAACGTCGATTATCTAACGCCAGTAGCGATAGTTTGGCCCTTGAGGGTGAAGCTCGCAGCCGCCGCCTTCGCACTGCAAGCCCTCAAAGAACACGGGTTACGATCAATTTCGATGACCAACCTTTGACCAAACTCATCATACCTGTCACTTCAGCTACCACTATCGATGATTTACAGAGCTTAATCTTCAATCGTGCCGAAAGAATCGCGGCATGATAGTCAATGAGATCATAGCCACTGCAAAAAGCCGTGTTTTTGGAGCTGCAGGAGATGAGGTAACTCCAGCACCAGGCTTTAATATTGGTTTATGGTTCAAAAACACGGATGACGATTCTTCAGTATGGGCATTAGGGACTGATACGCCCGAAAAACTCTGTTTGACTGGTAGTCTCGAGAATCCATTGAACATTTTCCTAGTCCTGATTAGCGAAGGTAAGCTTTCCGATCCATCATGCAGCAGAAAGAAGCACTGATTCCTCTTACAAAATCCCATCCTATTAGTAAAATCGATTTAACATATTATAGACAATCCAAATCCAAATTCTCCCTACGGATTTTGTTGCTCACTTCGAAGCATGGCTACATTTGAAACATGCCTTAAGGTGCTGATATTGGCAGCGAATTTCCGCCCACATTTGATTCCTTGTCTGCTAGAGCGCATGATGCTGGTCACGAATATTGGCGAGGCTAAGAACTGCCTTGAGAGCTCTTTAAGAATGATGGTAGTTCCCAAAGAGAAGAAGACCATCTTGGTAAACTGTTTCCGTGAAATTGCGCTTAGGATGGTTCCTGGTGCATTCGTTGGTCACAAGATTGAATCGGTCCTGGAGGGCTCAAGACAAATCTTTGCTTGAATGTTTAGCGATATACTCGAAGAAGATGTGAGTTACCCCATTTTAATCGAGAAATGTCGATGTTTAAACCATTTCAAAAGGTAAAGAGTACAATTACTTGTACCTGTAGCGTCAAGGGAAACATTGAAATGTAATTGGTGTTCTGACACTTCTCAATTTCTCGAAGCATATTGGTCTTTGAAATCATTCAAAGTTCCAAGCAGCTTTAAGTTCTCAATATAATATCTTGTCTCACTTACAGAGAGAGCAACTGCTGAATCAGATTATTCTAGTTCAAACCTGTCAAAGGGAAACGCATGCCAATCCCTGCTACTGACGACTTTCGAAACATCATCAACGTTTGCAACAGTTCCCAACACTTTCGGATGCTATCGCCCCTGCAGTTAGACGGAAGAGAGAATTCGGGTATCTCATTATCTAAGGCCGGATATGTATCACATTATACTCAGAAGGGTGATGAAACTTCGCAATCGAGGCTCGAAAATGCGATTACAGGCTTCGAGACTTTACCATCAAGACCGGGACAGAGTCTTCTCCAAGCTCTCCGATCAGTAGTTTCACAAAGACAAATTGAAGGTACGTGGGAGATTGACGATTGGGAGCGAGTAGAATCAAGCTCACCGGTTATAAATCCGAGCTCTGGACCTGATGAAGCAATCGTTATTTGTTTGGACAAGAGCATCAGTATGCGAACTTCACTCGGAAATAATTGGATTGGAAATGGTCAAATTAATACGCTCAACCGATTCGACGAAGCCAAGCAAGTGTTTCGAAATGTGGTATCACGATTGTCTGCTTATCACTTGAATGTCCATATAGGTCTAGTTACGTTTGGTTCGAAGGCAGAGCAGGAAGCTCAAATTTCTCCTGTCGGCAAAGAATTCAAGAACAAACTAGAAAACACTCAGGCAACTGACCACAGGACATCGCTTTTCGATGCCTTATCTGTCGCTCGTTCTAGGCTCGTCTCTCACCAAAAGCAGTATACTGAATCCAAGATGAAGCTTCGCATCATCGCATTAACCGATGGGAAGGACAACAGTTCCGTTTTCACTGCAGAAGAGACTCGTGAGATGTTATACAATGATGACATAGTCCTTGACTCAATCGTCATAGGTGGCTCCTCGTCTGATGAGCTTTTCAAGATATCAAAATATACAGGTGGTTATGCCTTCAAACCAACATCACGAATGCTTTTGTTCCAGACTTTCCTCCTCGAGCCGTTCCTGGATATACTTGCTAGACCAGATATTGTCAAAATCCCACTCGATGACTATGATACGTCACTGCCAAAAGAGGCTGACATGACAACCATTGATGACTTTCCGCCTTGTCGTCCGCATCAATTACAGGATGGTGGTTTTGTCTCGCTTGACGCAGCAACACGCCAGTTGGCTGGAAAGTCGTCTTCGCTTCTTGAAATTTGCCGCATGTCGGCTTCCGCCGAACCTGCCCATAGATCGACTGGACGACTATTTCTTGACGAGATGCGACTCATGATTGCGAATCCTCATGCATCGATGGATATCTATGTCAGTGAAGTAGATATGGCTTTTTGGAAGATCGTAATGTCGGGACCAGCATCTACGGCCTATTCCGAAGGCACTTTTGCCTTGTTTGTTCATATGACAGATACGTATCCCCAAAAGTCACCGGCTGTCCGCTTCATCACACCAGTGCTTCATCCAAATGTATCCAAGGTAACATCACTACCCCATCCATTGATATGTATTGTGTCATGACTGATGATGAGACAGCATGGTAGGATATGTCACGAAATTTTCGATGATGGGTGGAAATCAAGCTTTCACATTCACGATATCTTGAAGACTGTATTCACCCTATTCGAGAATCCAAAAGCTAGTTGCGATGCTGCTATTGATGAGCTAGCAACACTGAAGTTTTGGACCGACCGGGAGACAGCTGATGCGGAAATCAAGAAATATGTAAGCGTTAAGAAACTTGTTATAGAAAGCATGAAGTGTTAATCCATGTCAGGTCACCAAATTCGCTACACGTACTAGACTTCAATGGAAGAGAGAAATGGATTTGACAGTTTGAAATTTGACAATCAGTAAGTTCCATGGGATACGGTTATCGAAATAGGAGAGCATTTTGCACTTTCTATAGAAAAGTGGATCTAGCTAAAATACTAAGGGGCGATACATACGGGAATAGTTGTAGCAATATCTTGCTATTGTGAAATAACAAAATGGCAATCTACTTCTAACTTGTCTTCGTCTGTGAGCCTTGGAGATTGTCGATTGACTTGAGCTACAAATAGTTTGATGTTAAAAGCCGAACAAGATGACTGGGCTGATTTCCAAAGCATTTTTTTGCCTTAACTTCTATTTGCGTTTGAGACGTTGCGTGGTGACTTAAGGGGAGAGCCCCGTTCGATATGAAAAACAAATTCGGAGTAGAGAATGGAATACCAGATACTCTTTCAATCTGCATTTGGGGGTTCCGTTTCCATTAGGGCACGGTAGAAGAAGATGGTCAACACCGATACTTGAATGATGTGGAAGAGCGGTCGCGAGATATACGAAGGATTGTATCGGGGCGCAACTTCGCTATCCTTTGTGCCGATTGACACCAAATATTTGAAATATGGAAGAAGGAATTGTCGAAGACAAGACGTACATGTATTTTCGCTCTCGAATCGTGAAGCATGGCATACTTAAACAGAGTGCAATGGTTCGTGATCACATGGCATTAGACATTGTACATATAAATAGTGTGTGTGCCAATTGCATAAGAACTTGGATACCATCGAACACGTGTGTGTGGAGTGAATGTGTATTTGCATCTTGTGTATATTATCGGAATGTTTTATCTGAGTGGGAAATGTATATTCGCCACTCTGCCTGTACATGAAGCAGTTTCGTGCTTGGGTATAGGTCTATAGAAGCTCTATCATACCCTTCAGGCTGGTATAGAAGTATGTATGACATCTCAAATCTCGTGGACTCGGTGCTCGACCAAAAGTACCTCTTCTGATGTACTTGGTATCTCCAGACATCTCTCTCAACCCGAATCTCATTTAAGAGAAGAAATACTTCCCACCCTTGCTCCGTGATCAAAAATCCTCGAATCCCTTTCCATACCAAGCCCAAAACCCCCTCATCAGAATATCCCCTCTTACCTCACTTCCCCCCCTGCACCAATCCCAAATAAACATTCCAACCAATCCCCGCCAAACTCCCTAACAAAGCCCGGCCCTGCACACTCTTAATCACGGCAAAATTGCTCAGACTCACAAATGGCCATAGCTTCCATCCCGCTTTCATCATACCCCAGTATTCATTTTGTGCAGACTGGATAGCTTGAGGAAGAGTCGCTCCGCGGAATAATGAAAAAGTGATGAGGAAGAGCATTACGTTGAGCAGCGCGAGGAGAGTTTGATCGATAAATACTTTTAAAATGGTGTTTGTGATCGAGAGAGCGGGTTTGGAGAGTGCGGATTCCTTTTCTGAGATTTTTTGCGGGGAGGTTGGTTTCTTGGAGGGGAGAAGAGATTCAAGGAGGGATTGTCTAGGCGTTTTGATTATATGGTCAGTATTCGTAGTACTTTTCTGCGAACATAATCGTGCGAGAAATATGGTACTCACAAGTAGAAATTTGGAGGGGCGCTCAGCAAACCGTATAGCACGAAGTAAAGGACCGGTGTCCAGTTTATCGTGAATTGTGCCTGTGTAGTTGTTAGATTTTAGTCTGGCATGGTGTAATGTAGAGATAAAGATAGAGAGGGCTCATACATTGCGCTGGTACGCAGAAATATATTGTGCGATGATATTGCTGATTCCCGATAAGACACAGGATTGAACCGTGGTGTTTACGACGGCGGAAGACATCTTGGGTTTCGTCTCGTGGGTTATGGTTGAGATGTGGAGGGAGTAGGAAATTCTCTCTGAGAAATTGTTGGTTTGATCTTCAGCTTTAGTATCCTGGTGGCGTAGTGTGTCGCGTTGTACTTCCGCGCTTGGTGGGGTGGTTTCTTCCGAGTACTACCATGATTGTTCGCAAATGTCAACGGATTTCATTGTGATGAGTCGATAGTCTCGACTTATTGAGTCTGTGATCTTGAATCGTCGAGTCTTTGATCTCGAATCATTGACTTCTTGCCATCTTATAGCGACAAGCTGGAGCATTGTACGTTTTTAATGATAGAGGGCGGAGAGAAGGAAGGTCGTCAAGACCTCAAAACACAGACATCAGACCTACAATTGCCGCAATCCATGGATGATCATGAAGACCTAGATGTCCTGAGGATATCGCGGCGTGAACCGAATTACCGAGTGGCTTCGGTATACATTCCAAGATCTTGAAGAAGAGGTAGCTCCTATTGAAGCTTGCTATGGAGTCGACAATGTATGTTTGGATTGATATGGTCCTGTTATATAGCAATCAATTCAAAAAGTTATAGTATACAACAAAAAGGGGGTTTGCATAAGTATTAACGTGATTTATCATCGAGTAGATTATATCATTAAGTGGACCACTTTTATTTCAATAAATACAACTAACTTTAACACATAATTTATTAACCATTTATTATACAATTTAATAATAAAGAAGCACATTTATTTTTAACTATTAAACCTATCAAAAACAATAAAAAACTAAGTCTTTGAAAGGCCTTCCAACTATATAATATTCCTTATATAACTCTTATTCATAGAATAAATGATTTAACTTTATATATTGAAATTCAAATAAATTAATATAAACTTATAGAATTAGAAAAAAAGGTTATTATTTAATATATTCTTAATATAAATTCAAAAAGTTTTTTATTTAAATTTAAGAAAGTAGAAGATATAACAAATTATATTCTCGAATTAAAGATATATTTTTATTATATTTATAACTTTCAAAAAGTTTTTTATAAAAATTCTAAGTTTATTAAAAAATGGTTTCAATTAATTACAAATATATAAATGAAATATAATATTTTAAATAGTGATTTTTATAATTTTAATAAAATAAGCTTTATAATAGGTATAATATACTTTGGAATAATTATCATTAGTATTAAGAAATGTAGTAGAAGTAAATCAATATAATTAGGCAATTGAGAATGGGTTATAGTAATAATTTGTAGGAATAAGAAGGGTAAAACTATTCCCCTATTTCTAATGGTTTAGGAATAGGTTTATCTTTCCAATTGATATACTGAAATCGATTTTCCTGCGGAATGGGCTATTAAACCTATATTTAATGGATGGATAAACAATGAGACAGGTTTAGAATAACGTGGTTTATCATCATGCGGCCCATATCATCATGCGGCCCACTTTCACCTCAATTTGCACCCTTTTATTTCAACACGCGTTTTATCAACAACCCACGATGCATTCGAATAATGAAGAAGCCCGTATACTCCTAGCTATCGATGCTATTCATAAAGACAAAAAACTAAGTGTTAGAAAGGTTGCTACGATGTATAATATACCACGTACAACACTACGGCGTAGAATAGACGGTTTTACCCCTCGTACAGAATATCGACATAAAACCCATAAACTTACAGAATTAGAAGAAGAGATCATTATTCAATATATTCTTGATATGGATTCGAGAGGTTTTCCACCTAAACTTAAAGGGGTGGAAGATATGGCGAATCATATTCTTGAATCGAGAGGTGGAAAAGCGGTTGGAAAGCTCTGGGCGCATCGATTCGTAAAGCGTCACAAAGAATTAAAGACGCGTTTTAGTCGTGTTTATGACTTTCAAAGAGCTTTGTGCGAGGATCCTGAGTTTATTCGAAAGTGGTTTCGTCTTATATCGAATATGCGAGCGAAATTTGGTATACAAGATTGCGATATGTGGAATTTCGACGAAACAGGCTTTATGATGGGAGTTATAAATGCTGGTATGGTAGTTACTAGTGCTGAGAGGAGTGGTAGGAGTAAAGCAGTACAACCAGGCAATAGGGAATGGGCGACAGCGATCATATGCGGTAGTAGTGTAGGGGAAATCATACCTCCATTCCTGGTGGTTCAAGGACAGGTGCATCTTTCCAATTGGTATACGGAAACCGATCTTCCTGCAGATTGGGCTATTAAACCTACTAGCAATGGGTGGACGAACAATGAGACAGGATTGGAATGGTTAAAACACTTCGATAAACATACAAAGGATTGCAGAGTAGGCAAATACCGAATGTTGGTGCTAGACGAACACGAAAGCCACGAATCCATACCTTTTCAATCATATTGCAAGGAGAATGATATTATATGCGTATGCCTACCACCGCATTCAAGTCATTTAACTCAACCACTTGATGTCGGATGTTTTAATAGGTTAAAACAAGAATATGGTACTCAAATTGAGGGGTTTATAAGGGCACATATCAATCATATCTCAAAGGTTGAATTCTTTATAGCTTTCAAAGCTGCATATCAACGATCGATCACGAATCAGAATATGAAATCTGGATTCCGAGGAACAGGATTAGTCCCCTTTGATCCTGAAATAGTACTCTCAAAATTAGATATTCGAATACATACACCTAGTCCTCCTCCTTTTGTCAATTTAGACCTCTGAATCTCTCAAACTCCTCACAATCCTATGGAAGCTCTTTCTCAATCAACATTAGTTAAATCTCGAATCAATCGTCATCAATCAAGCTCTTCTACACTTATATTTGAGACTGTACTAGCTCTAGCTAAAGGCACAGAGAGATTAGTTTATGAGAATACACTTTTAAGTGCAGAGATCTGTATACTTCGGGTAGCAAATGAGGCATTAAGCAAGCGTCGACGTGCGAAAAAAACCCAATTGCGTTAAGGAGGAGTATTTACTGGACAAGAGGCTCTTGATATATTATCTCAGCAAAAGGTTGATGTTCAGATTCAACGCGACGAGCATCAAAAAGGGAGGAATCCTAATGGGGAAGTATCTTCTAATAGATGCTGTAGTAAGTGTGGAAAACCAGGTCATAATTCAAGAACTTGTCAAAACGATATAATAGATCTTAGATTATTAGATTCTTAATAGTTTTAATCAATTGAATCAATTGTTGTTGAGTAATATGGATTTAAAAATACAAATTGAGGTGAAAGTGGGCCGCATGATGATATGGGCCGCATGATGATAAACCACGTTAATTGAAATACTTCGATAATGTTACGATGGGTAACAGAATGCCATGTGACAAGTGTCACGTGGTGAAGTCCCCAGGAGCCAGGGCTCCAAGGAGGTCCTTGGGAGCCAGGACTCCAAGAAACTCCAACCAACATCAGAGTACGAAGATCTATATAAGGGAATGGGATTTCATTACAATGTAGAGCTTCGTGCTCAAGAACAATCATTAGTTTCATTACTATAGTTACGAGAATTGCAACCAGTTACAACCTTATTGAATTCCTACTTGAAGTCTAGTCTAAACCACCTCGAGAGATCTCTAGACACTTCCACGTGACCCTAGAGGCAGCTCCCGTAACAGATAAGCATATTAAGAATTGAAGAAAGAGTAAATATCGAATGTTGATGCTAAATAGATATAAAAGTTATAAATCAATAGCTTTTTAAGTATATTACAAAGAGAACAATATTATATGTTTAAGTTTATTATTGTATTTAAGTTATTTAACTTAGCCACTTGATATTAACTATTTTAATAACCTGAAACGTTCATATGGTGATTAAATTGATGGATTTATTAAGATACATATCAATTATATTTCGAAGGTTGAATTCTTTATAGCTTTTAAAACTATATATAAAGAATCAATCATCTTTTAGAATATAAAATCAGAATTTCAAGGAATAGATTTAATACCTTTCAATTCTAAAGCTATACTTTCGAAACTAAATATTTGAATTCGTACACCTACTCCCCCCTTTTTTAATCAAGATTTATAAATCTCTTAAACCTCTTATAATTTATTTAAAGCTTTTTCTCAATCAATTTTAATAAAATCTTAAATAACTTGTTATCAACCAAACTTCCCTATATCTATATTCGAAATTATATTAATTTTAATTAAAAATATAAAAAGATTAATTTATAAAAATATACTTTTGAATATAGAGATTTGTATATTTCGAATAATGAATAAAATATTAAATAAATATTAATATATAAAAAAAACTCAATTATATTAAGGAGAAGTATTTATTAAATAAAAGACTTTTGATATATTATTTTAATAAAAAGTTGATATCTAAATTCAATATAATAAGTATTAAAAAGAGAGGAATTCTAATAAAGAAGTATCTTTTAATTAATATTATAATAAATATGGAAAGACTAGGTATAATATAAGGACTTATCAAAATGATTTAATAGATCCTAAATTATTAAAATCTTTATAATTTTAATCAATTAATTTAATTATTATTAAATAATATGAATTTAAAAGTGTTTATTGAGATGAAAGTGTTACGACCGAGGTCGTCACATGACTAGATTGATTAAAATATCACCTGACCAAGGTGTCCCACTGAGTCCCACTGAGTAAGGCCCAGTGGGACACAGTGGGAAGCAGTGGGACAACAGAGAACGAAGGTCTATATAAGGGAATGGGATTTCATTACAATATAGAGCTTCGTGCTCAAGATCAATCATTAGTTTCATACTATAGTTACGAGAATTGCAACCAGTTACAACCTTATTGAATTCCTACTTGAAGTCTAGTCTAAACCACCTCGAGAGATCTCTAGACACTTCCACGTGACCCTAGAGGCAGCTCCCGTAACAGAAAGTGGTTCACTTGATGATATAATCCACTCGATAATAAATCACGTTATACAAACTTTCATATGCAGATATCGTTGAAGGATTTGACCGTGACAACGATTTATTTCAAGGCAGCTTTTTATTTTTATGTCATATGCTTTGCTATTTATTGTATTGAGCAAGAATGAAGAATGGAAGTCACTGCTCTCTTTGGAAGTCACCATCGCTCAGCCAGGCTTTACATATCATACATTCTGCCCGTTTCCTCACTACACTGTGAATACTGCATATACTGCATCCTGAAGAAGAAGACTACCTCCAGCGAATCTTTCAAGTACACTTCCACTGAAAGCCTCAAGATTACTTGAGTTTCCTTCAAGGTTATCTTAGTTAAGAGTACCCCTTTTTCTACTAGCAATTCATATACCTTTGTCGGAACTAGTTCTATCAAATCTTCGATCATTGGAACTTCAATCAAGCCAAATTCAAATACCGAGACTAATGCAAAGACCAGCGTCAAGACTTCAGATAAGCCAAGCTCAAGTGCTACTCCAAGGATCATTGGAATATCGCTAAACTTCATCACAAGATAGTCCACTAGGTCCCCCAGCACTAGCGATAGCTCTTTCCACGCACCCAGCCTTGATTGTCGTTGGCAACGTAAATCTATACTCCCTTGTCCCCATTCAATCCCCACGTCACCCAGGGATAATGGCATCGGATGCCTTCCCATCAAGTAGGGCACCACATCCACTTTCTTGCTTTTTCAGGGCCGCACCCAAATCGCTTTCGAAGCTGTTTGTAATTATCTGAAATTCAACCAAAGAGTGTCATCGTGCAGGAAACAGACTGCTCGAGGTGCCATTGGTGTTGGTCTTGGTGTCACCAATATGATGGAGGTAACGGTAGAAATGCTTGCTGTGAGCGACGCAGTGATCGTTGTTGTAGTGGTTGATTGCAAGGAGCCGTAATATTTCAATCCGGCTTCGATGACAGAAGGAGCAATAGCATCGTAATTGGTATTTGTAGGCGTCCGATCTATATCGTAGAAGCCAGTCATGATTGCTGTTGTTACAGGATAATGTGTTGTGTCGGTAGTAGTTGTTCTTGTGTCTCTGGCGCTGCATGCAACGGACTCCTGGCATTCATTCTAGCATCATCGTTAGTTGTGTGACTAGAGGAGAGTTTAAGTAGCATACCTTTGTTGTTGACGAATACTCTGTCATTGGCGAAGGGCCCCAATTACTAATAATCCCCGTACCCGCCAACGCAGTAACAGGATCATCACAATCATTATCGTCGTTGACATTCTCATTGTTATTGCTGTTATTGTTACCACCGTTATCGGGCCCACTAGATCCGCACCCTGTGACATAACCAAGGCCTCCACACTTAATAAGGGGACAGTCCCCCCAAAAACATCCGAGTGGACCGCAACCACCACTACAGCCAAAAATTCCACACCCACCGTAACAGGCAAACAAGCCGCAATGTGATTTGCAGCCAAATATCTTGCAGTTACGAGTTCCATGACCTTCGGCGGACTTCGTTGATTTAGGCTTGCCACTTGAGATTGTGACGGAAGGGATAGTTTTTGTTAGCGGGGGAATGACGATTGACACTGTTGGCAATGGCTGGATAGTAATTGGGTGTGGTGTCGAGAACCAAACACCAGCAGGTACGGCAGTGCTCGAACTTGAACTTGAATCTGGACCCGTGGTAGATTTCCAAGTGGTTCCTCCATGCAGGCCGCCCGCCGAAGTCATCAGCGCTGGGAATGGGGGTTGTGGAAAACGTATTCTGGAATGCGGGAATGGTATAAACAAATGAGGATGGCATAATACTTTACATGGGAAATATTTTATAGGTTGCATTGTGCGTCGCGTGCATTGTAATTGGTTGAAAATGGACCTCTGATATCGCGAATAGTGGAGCACTGATTGTTGATGTCACTGTTTGGAGTTCTCCAGTGGAAGAAAAGAGAAAATTTGTAGTCAGTAGAGGCCAAGTAACGGTGGTTGTCGTTCCCGGTGGAAACGGAGGGAGAACGAAGATGCAAGAAGGCTCGCAGGTCGTAGACAAATTGTCACTAGTCCCACTTCTTCCATCACTGCTTCCATCACTGCTTCCACTACCGGTCCGGATAGATAGACTAACATAGACTTTTGAGCTGCCGCCACAACCAGTTCTATTCTTCCCATTGTAGGACTGGAGGTCGACTGTCCAGTCCACCGTTTCACCAAAGTTGTACTATTTAAATAATGCCGCTCGAGCTGACTTGGATGTTTTTCGACTTTCTGTCACGGGGACACAGATTACCAAGCTGGGTGGGGCTCGAACCATCGGAGGCGGTAATACAGAGGATCTATGGATTAGCAATCAAGGAACTCTTATATCTGATGATCTTCACACTTGGCAGGATACTAAGGTATATCTATGATTCTACAAAGGAGAGTCCCTACATCATAGAATACAGAACCAAGGATAAGAGAATGTAAATAAAGGGAAGCTAGTGTAGTATATATAGTCCAGTATATACTGGGGGTTAATCAGAACATATAATTAGACTTAACCAGCCTTAAATATACATTATTACCCTAAATATTACATAAGTTTCATTCGGAATCTACTCGACATATACCTACCCTATTACAGAATGTGAAGGACGGGAAACTAAAGGAAGGGTATTTTAGTAATTTGTAGTCATTGATAAGGAACTAAAAGGAAGTTGGAAGCGAAGCTTTCAATTTATACGAAGAGAGTTAGTTAAAGAGGCTATTGTAGACGGTCACGTGCCATGGAGGGTTCGTACGCCCTTATATAGAACCTTGATATTTTCAATCCTTTTATTTGATTGGAATCCGACTGAGTTATATTTTTATATAATGATTTATAAATGAAAGAGAGATGATAGGGAGTGTTACACTGATTGTAATACTGAACAAGGGAGAAACTTCCTTTTACGTCTCTTAGACAATTATATCAGGGTGCCTAGCTTGCTTGACCAGGAGGCCACGTCGCTCTGTTAGCGAAGTGTTTGATAATTGACCGTTGATTGCTGTCGTATTCTTATATATCATATACCTTATAGGCGACTACATTGTCTAATCTAGGCATATATAGTTGGTATGATTAATATGATCAAACCTGAAGTGAATCTAGTTTATTATCTTTATTACTATCTATTCCCCGATCAAAGTGCCGAAGTTACATAGTCATTTTCCATGATAAAAATAATTAGGTGTCCGTGGATAATCTGCAAATACTCTGTAGATTATCCGTCCTAGATTCTAAATTGTCCCCTCCGCTGACAGATTGTCCTTGAACTATCCTCCAAGGCCATTATTCACCCTGTAAGTAACTACTCGTTGAGCGGCCTAATAACAAACTGAATCTCAGACAATGGAACGTTGATCTGGACCAGGACTTTGACGCCTTGCTAACAATTTCAAGTGAGTATTTTGTCAATATTGAATATTTATTTGTTTTGTTTTATGAGTGCCTAAACGTAGCAGTGTTGTAATTAGCATTTCTCAAAGGTGTTTTGCCAATGATTACTGATATTGTACATTCTTTCCGACTGAAACATCATGCTTTCTACTCAAAAATAGTTGTAATGTAATCGATTCGAGAAAGCCCTATAGGGTGTACCTGAGAGTTCAAGCGTTTCTCTTGGAGGTCAGCTCTAGAATAATAATAACAATATTAGTATTCTAGTATTAGTGGAAGACTTAGTCACTTTTAGCTTTAAGGGATAAATCGAATATATAGTATGAGAGTTGAATTGAAGACAAATTATAAGAGAGAGCTTAATTGAACTGAATCTGCTTGCTTTTTCTAGGTTTTCTTTAAGGAATATCCTAGGTTTATATAGTTTATAATAAAATTCTAATAATTTTTACACTTATAAATAAGATAGATTTAAATCGAATCTTATAGAATCATTTATATTATAAAAAGAAAAAATACAATCAATCAATTTGGTCTATTTTATTAATAATCTTTTATGTGATTTTATCACATTCTATTTCATTATAAATCAATTTGATAAGAGATATAACAATATAGTAATATAATGATATAATTTTATGATATAAAATTATATTATATATATATTAATCATCAATATATCGCTTAATTAGTAAGATATTAATAAGTGATTTAGTATAGAATCTCACAACATTAAAGTCTATCTGTGTAATTAAATTTCACTAGTTCTGACGGGCGTGAATCTGGCATGATTGCACTGCATCCCCAGGAGCCCTCGTAGAAATAGCCGCGCTTCGCAGTAGTGCGAGAAATATGCATCCATTAGGAGCAGTGTGGAATGCTAGCCTTATACAATCTAGATCGAAACGCTGAAAAAGAGTCTGAATATATTGGATTCCTAAACTTTATTGTATTCCAATTCTCTTTCCACATTCCAGATCTTTTTTAAGCTTCTTTTAAGCCTTCCCCAATATTCCAACCTTTTTCCAATATTTCAATTCAATGTTTTTAGTCTTTCAGTACATCCCTTATATAATTCACATGAATATATACAAAGCATCGTATGAAAAGCTTTCATACGGTTCAATATATCAATCCTGGAATAATATACTAGTCTAGACAGTCAATCTGCCTGACCAAGCTATTTTAAACCTGGAACTGTTAACATCCAATGAGTCACAACAATAGTTCCTATTTATGTAATCGATACTTACTTCCATTGTACCATAGTTGACAGTTTGTCATCTTTAGAATCCCGCAGCACTAACATATCAATCATGGACTGAGGCAGACACCTTCCAAAGAAGACAATTCGAAGTGTTCTGGAGGATTTACACTTCATTGGAAAGAAAGAGTAGTAAGGTTGCATCTACTGTAACCTTACATTACAACTGAATCCGCGACGACCGCAATGCAACCGTATTATTGGGCTTATGAAACCGAAGATATATGCTATAAATTAGCTCAAAATCTTATCTAACAGAAGAAAATCCAAGCGTGTTCTCTGAATGCTCATCTAGCAAGTTAATTCTTTCTATTAAACGTCTTCACGAAACGCCAGTTTGAGATTGAGTCAACTCGATGCATCGAAACTTGAAATAACTACGTGTTACTGTCTATGAACAAATCTTAGAACCCGATCGTCAAAACGAAGTTTCACCAGGCTTCAACAAATCGCACAGAAAATTAAATCAAATGGTGAGTTTAACAAATAGGATAGCTAAATGTAGAAGTGTCAAACATCTCACAAATAAGAGGACCCGGAAGATCCTGCTCTTGCTCCACGCCCAAAGTCTCCGCCGTCTAATTCCGGAATGCTCCTGTAGTAGGTATCAATTGATTAGATCTGATTAAATTTATAGGGGCAATATAGTTCAGCAATGAATCATCTTCGGAGTCAGGATCGTCACTAGAGATATTCTTGATACTAAAAAGTGTCACGTTAAGTTCCTGAGTAAGTCGTTCCATAAGCCCCAAACCAAATTGTGGCGTGAATGTGGATTCTCCGTTATTGCTTACAAGTTTGACGAAGGCTTTGCGTTGTTGCACTTCCATGTTGATTCCGTTGACGAAAATTGTGTTTTTGAAAACGTCAGTGAGGTCTCTGTTGGAGAGCCGGAAGTCATCGGTGGCGTTATGTATAAGGTTATTAAGGTTCTAGGGGAAGCAGTGATAGTTAGCATGATAGAAAGTAGTGTTTGAAGTTTTGGTGAAACGTGCAATCGTCACTTCTCGCCGTTGATTTGTGGTACCAAATAGATCTGCCGAAACAACAGTTGATAGGACAAGAATCAAGGAGATGGCAAGTCGGTTGAGTTTCATATTGCTAATCATTATGTATATGATAGTCTTTGTAAGCAATTATGATTGGTCTTGCCAGTTGCTGCACCTAAAAGCAACAATGCACGTGGTCTCCTAACGAGTTAGAACTCAAGGGGGCTCGAAGTATTGGAACGAGTAATTCAGAAGCACTGTTAGAATGCAATCAAAAAGCCAGAGATGTATGTTCTTCTTTATAATATGTTGAAATCCCACACATCGAAAGAAGCTATTGGGAAATGCGAATCCTACACTCAAAATATCGTCTAAACTATATTCTCGTTAATGGCAAACCCCAAAAGCTACCAGTGATCAATCATAGTTAAACTATCTTGGGATAAACTGATCTGGTCTCATTTGCTGCGGTGCAAATCAGCTGTGTGTACCGCAGTACTGCAACACAAACCTCTTGGTACTTCAGTGGTTCATCTCATAGAGTTCAAATAACTACCCCCTTTGAAAATCATTCTTTTCTGTTCTAATTCCGTTTTTCCGGGACTAGTCACTTTGTAATTAACTAAAAATCGTGATTTTAAGATCAAATCTGTTCCTAAATGTTGTGTGCTGAACTAGCGCAAATTCTATGATCAACAATGACTATAGGGTTTGAATTATATTCCAACCCTAGGGTCCAGAGACGCAACAAACAGTAAGCCTACATCAAACAGATATGAGGAAATTCGGCTCCTTCATCTAATCCAATTTCTAAAGCATAACCGCTGTCTTGACGTTGTACGCTAAGACACGAAGCAAGTGTAATGTGAGAGAAGATTCAACAGAGTGTGCCATATCATAACATGAAATTGAAGTACCTCGTTTCTCGTTCAGATGGCACAGTTTTATTTATTAGGGGTAGGTGAGGTACATTGTGAAGGTTAGCTACTGCTCACCATCATAAAAATATTCGTTCAAAATAAGTTGTATCTTAGGGCCCGTTTGGCTCGATTCTTGTATAAAT